CAAACATTGTCCGAGTCACTCTCTATCATATTCAACTCGATATGCATCAAACCTGAAAATATCAAACATCAGACATCAGGTTTCACATCGGCCAATCAGATATCACACACACTCATGCTACCTATGTCTCATCCCATCCTGCTAGTCCTGCTGGGTGCGCAGTTCATTATTTCTCACATTACTTACATCATTCACAGTGTTATTACATGTTTTCCCATAGTCCGCGGCACCTCTTGTCTTATTACAACTCAACTAAGACTGATGAAGATCAGTGTCCGAGAGACTGTCTATGATTCAATATTCAAGGCATGTTCTAATAGAAAAAATGCAGCATTCGACAGGTTTCAGACTGTCAAGGTGCATTTTCATAAAATAAAAATGTTATCATTGGCAGGTTTCAAACCTGCACAGTCCAAGAGAAACATATTTTGACTCTGATGATCACTTGACAATTTCATCTTTAGCAGGCTTTGAACCCACACAGACAGATTTGGATTCTGTCGTATCAACTGCTTGGCTAAGACCAGTCAGATGCGCTACCAATGAATCCATTCAGAAGTGAATCCTCAATGTGCATTTGTCTGCATTTTGTCAGTTCTAACAATAATTTCTAATATCCCATTTGGAAGTCCGATCAATGTTTACTCCAGTGGATGTGTACATGGTACCTCGCATCACGATCTTTGCAACACATTCCCTAAGTTACTTGCAGACCGAGACTCGAGTAGCATGGGCTGACCCTGGCTTGGTGAGGGAGTGATGGTAAGCAGCAGCAGCTATACCTGATCTGCCTCTGGGTTTCGCCGGGTGTCGTGTCTTTCGTGCAACTTGAATGCACCGTCAGATCTAGCATGAGCTAGCATTTTACAAAATTTAGCCTCGCAGCATATTATCTCTCCAACCAGATGGTGTCTCTCGGTTTTTTCAGGGTGAGTCTTCCCAGCAATGTTTAAGAATCTTCAGTCTGAGCAGTACATGCTCGATCTCATCAACCGTAATTGCAGGTGGATTTGGAAAACCAGTTCACTCGAGCTATCAGTATCTTGGAAGGTAGCATGCTCTGCCGGAATAGGCATGTCATTTTGAAAGGATCCATACAGCTACAGCATCTCCAAACTATGTCCTGACATCCATCGCGTGTATAGCTCGCCTTTAAACTGAATGATATCATGATTCAATGTGATCCTCTTGAATTTTTTGTTGCGCTGCCACGATAGCAAAAGTGCATTAAAGGGCTGTTCACGGTGAAACATCAAATGCAATACTTACGAGCAAGAATTCAACTATGTAAACCGGCTTGTTTCATGCAGCAGCATGAACCTGTCACATCTCTACGGTTCCGACGTCCATGTGTCAGCGAAAGTTATGTCTTTGACTTGTAATCTCATGGTCCAACGCGATCCTCTTGTATTCTCTGACGTGCTACTGCACTAGCAAAAATGGACTGACTGAAAGGCTGTCCAAGGTGAGCAATGCTTGTGAGTGAGGCTCGTCTTCTGTAGGCAAACCGCCGGGTAACTTGTCAGAGTCGTCCATCAGGAACCCGGGTGATCTAGATGTTGGTATACACCATTATATTCCACAGCACGAGTATGTAGATGAGTGCTTGTCAGTTGATATGCTCGAGCATGGCGAACATCGACAGTGCTAGTGAATCTTCATCATGATGAGCATTGACAAAAACCAAGCAACACAGTACATAAACTTGACCATGTCGGGGCGAGTCTCAAGGAGTACTTTGATAGAGCATTACTGGTGAGCATCGAGTTTGAAAACAAACTGTTAAGACCATGCACAAAAGGTAGGACTGATTCTGAGGGGCTTGGCTTCAGCTCGTGCACTGCGCCCCTTACCCGAGTATGTGCCCTTAATTTCAGAATGATGTCTGAAGAAAGTCCAAGGATGTCCGAAGGACATCCGAAGCGCAGGAAAGTTCGGAAGGACTTTCCGGACGAGTGCAAGTAACTTCTGGATGAGTGCGGGAAAGTTCCGGAGGAACTTCCGGAAATTACGATGAGGTTTCGTCCTGATATGGATATGTGTAATGGCTACTTAGGACAAGTCCTAAGTAGAATCAAACAGAGGAAAGGCTGCAAGGACAAAGTCCAAAGCAGAATAGGTCCGGAGGACCGCGGGAAAGTTTCGGACGAACATCCGGAAACTTCGGAGGATCAGATAAGCGGAACTCTGGCCTAGGGAATTTCTCCCTAGGCCCGAGATAGATATTAACTAAGTTGGAGGACTAGAACTTTTGATATGAGGACTTAGAGTGAGATCTAGTGCGAGGACTAATATGATATTCAGACTGAGGAATTACAGGACATATACAAGAGTTTATATACTAAGGAAATAATGGAAAGATCAGTAAGCAAGCGTCCGAGGCTATGTATGAAGCATAAGCAAAGTTATCAAGCGCGAGTCGGAAATGAAGCATAGGTTAATGGATCAGTAAGCATACCGGTAGTAAGTATAACCAAGATACCATGGACAAGGAATACTGAATAAAGGAATAGGCTGTGTTAACGTTATATGCACAGGAATGAATTAAGAAGCTTATCGTATATCAGATTGGAAGCAGATCTATACATCAGATCAGATCAGATCAGATTGGATGTCCGGATGAGATGTGTGGATAGACATTAGGGTGATGGGACAAAGGATGAATGATGCAGGCTAGCTGAGGTATGGAGGTAAAGGGATCTGGATGTGGATGTGCAGAGGTGCAGGGATCTGGATGGATAGAGGACTGGAGACATGGATAGGGCGTCCGAAGGTCCGGATGAGGCATGGGAATATTGTCGGATGTAGGTCCAGAATACAGGATATGACACAAATGCTCTCTCACCTTTATGGTCTTCAGGCAGTTGCACAGCACAAGTTTGCGCACTACATGGGGATCGAAGTTCTTGACAGCATAGTAAATTGCCTCCATCGAATGAGGTCGATTATCAAGTATGACCATCCTATAAACTAATAATAAAATGGTGTATATGCGTAGAAAAAGACTATACCATACCAGTTGCTGTTCAGTTTCGTCCCTCCCTTGGTCAATCATGAACTCTCCAACTTCTCACTCAACATTCGTCTCCGCTGTATTTGGAGGACTGTTGACTGCCAATTGTCGTTCGCCGAGCATCCGAGTCGTTGTCAGTGTGGATGTTGAGAAAGTTGGACTTAAGTTGATTTTCAGTGTTTGCATATGGATCACGACGTGTTTCTGCACATACCACAGGATTCCTGTACTTATACTTGTGCGAAAATGCAAGGGAGCTTGTTGATTCTGTGTAAAATACTACATGAGGTATTCCTTCATCGGAGTATTTTGGGAAAGTTCATAGGAAGTACTGATTTGGGAAGCTGATACGCGGGATTAGGCTCATGCGCGTGACCAGCGTCTATTGCGGTATTACTAACACTATTTTGGGAAGCTGCGTTTGTGTTTGGTACGCTGAGCGTTGAACATAATGCAAAATAGGTCGCACTGCAGGTTGCTCGGCACCCTGTACTGTACTTTTCTTCAGTGAAGCACTTATAACGCCATCTACGTTGCAGAGAGAGTTTTCTGTAACGCCTTCTTACAGAAATAAATGATAGGCAAGCCCATTATCTGTTTGTTTCAGCTGTATCATTCTGAAGATTTCTCCACTCGAAGTGCTCTCAAGCATAATCCTTCTCATGAATCTTGCGACATGGAAAAGGTCAAGGGACTGATTCCAGAATTGGAAGAGGAAGAGCTATTAAATCTCAACGAAGCTGCTCTTGAGATACTTATCATCAATCTCAACCGGACACTGTGCGCAGTGAGTTCACGTTGTCAGCAGTACTGTTGCATCATCTGATGCATGGTTCTATTCATCAACTCTAGGCTTTCCTTACCAGGTCAATTTGGTTCAATGTGCCAGGACTAGATTCCCCTGTCAACGATGGTATCCCTACACACGATTCCCAAATGTCTTCACTACGTCATAAGCTCTCATGCGGACTCTTCTTTGTCGGCAGCTCACTGAGTTTCTGTGTCGCATTCCTCATTGTTTTGGGCAAGATCCTGATGCGCCAGCACACACTCACTCTGAAGCTGCCACCTCCTTATGGCCCTCATCACCTCCCCAAGTATAAGGCTCAACGTCTACGTGCGATACTGGCATCCATGCCTGCATGGTTCATGAAACTTTTGAAGTCACTGCAGTCTATCTTTCCATTCATCCAGTTTATGATTACCATGACGCTACTCGCGCTCAACCAGTTCTTTTAGTATATCACCCTTCCAACGGCTCTTGCCAATTGTTCTTTCACTCTTGATTTGGGAATGATTCTTCATATCATCTGGTTTTCTGAAATGTTTACCAACATTATCCTTCACCCTGAGGCTCCAAATTGTTATTGTTAAATGAAGTGTGTTGGGTCTTGAGCACTTCAGTGATCGTCTTTCCCGGGCCAGTTCAATTTCTTTTCACTGTATTCATCAGGCACCATATGCAATCTTATTTTATTTACATTAATGCATTGTATGTATTGTCAAACAATATAAATCATCTTGATAGAAACGAATCAGACTCAAGACTTTGTTTGATTACTAAGAGGACTACACAACACCATCGTAAATAAAGTTTAGCAGGGTAGCTTCCTGGCATGTTCCCATCAAAGCTTACACTCCTACCATGTTTAAATACATTCAGGTTTGCACCAATGACTCGCAGTCTTACTGATTGCCTCAATCGATGGCTAGTACTCAGGTGCTTAGTATAAGAGACGGTCTTCGTGTTGCCCACTCTTACGGATCCTTCTGACCCAACACAGATATTCTGCCACTTCCAAATGATCAAAATCACATCGACATCTGACTCCTCGTGTATGCCTCATGTGGCATGCAGCTGCATATACTCATTGCCCACTGAATCTAGATCATTTTCAACTCAGGAAGAATCTACCGAGTTTGCACACTGCAATGATTATAAGGCTACACGAACGCTTCCAAGTCTCCATCACATTTACCTTCCCCCATGGATCCTTCACAGATAAGAAACATAATCGGTCGCTTTCGAATCCTCATGATAGGAAGAGCTAATGCAGGAAAAACTACCATCCTACAGAGAGTCTGTGACACACGAGAGAATCCAGAAATATATAACAGTGCCGGTAAAAAGGTAGGCATCACGATGCTAGTAGGAGGATGGTAGGGATAACTGAGCGATGAACTTCAGATCGATGCCACAGTTTTGATGGCTTCCAGAGAGGTGTTGTATACTTCAGTAAATGGCAACCTGAACTGACACATTCTCAGTGCGGATTGCACAACATCGAGAATGAAATGGTGTTTAAAAGCAATCCAGGTTTCATTTTTCACGATTCTTGCAGGTTCAAAGCAGGTGGTGAATCCGAATTCAACAAGGTTAAGGTGTTTATTGCCAGCCGTTCTAAGGAAAGCAAATTAAGAAATCAACTTCACGCTATCTGGTAATTGCAGCTGATCAATCGCGACATGGCCTTACGGTTTAACATAGGTATTGCATCCCAATGGATGAGGTGTGTAGGCCAGTCACCAAAGGCGAGATCAAATTTTTCTCTCAATGCGATACTGGAAGACGAGGTTTGACGCGGCACTGACACGCATGTGATGCAGCATGTGCTATGGTTGACGCGGCACTGTAGTAGGCCTAAACGCGGCATAGAGTGTGGATGTTGATATTAGTACAGAGACTGCGAAGATATTTGGGAGAACTTGTCGTGGTGTGAGTGGTGCTTGACGCAGCCTAAACGAGGCTTCTGACATGCCATGGTTGGGGCTTGATGTGGTGGTGCAGGGTATAGAGAGTGGATCGAACTTGGAAGGGTGAGGTCGAGGCTTGACACAGTGAGACAACATTTGACACTGCGTCTGAAGACCAACATAGATGAATGAATTAGAGGTAATGCAACAATATAGGACTGATGCGCAAGATGCATACTAGTAGTATGAACACAGAGGACACGCACTATAAATTTGGTGAGAGGTGAACACAGCACTATAGAGCCTGTACATAGGCAGACACTCATATGTTGATCATTAACGATAATTCAAAGTGTTTGGAATGCGATATGAAGTTGTGTAGACATAATCTGTACATAGGAATTTGTTACAGCACCGCGTTGTAGAAACAACAATACTGAGAGGAACAAAACAAAGATTGCTCCTAACTGATATATTTGTGTTGTGGTCTTTGCACTGCCTATTCTGCTATACTTGCCTGACAAGTGCGTTCGACCCAGGGGTCTGCGGTCTAAGAATAGTCTTGGGGGTAAGTGAGTGATGTGGGGTCAATAGTCCGAGCGCGGGAAACAATGTCCAAAGGTATAATTACGATGTCCGACGCAAAAGCGTCGGGTCCGATGTTTTCGGGGTTTCGGGATATCGGGTTCGGGATGTTGGAAACTAATAGTAACGCTATAGCGAGCGTCGGAAGAGCGAGCGGTGTGCGCGATAATAACAATGACTGATATGGATAATGAAAGAGCGATGATATTCGCAATATCAACTAAGAACTACGAAATATCGGGTTTGACCACTAAGCGTCGGGGAACTGCTCCCCTCTACTTGGATAATGAATAATGCTCGAGGTCAGTCCAATATATATGTAAGTACGTAGAAATGCGGAACCCATAGGCGAAAGTAGCGGCGGAGTATTTCGGATCCGAAGTACATGTAAATAAACATGAGGCGCTGCGGACTATGGGAAAACATGTAATAGCGCTGGCTACGACGTGAGTAATGTGCGAAATAATGAACTACACACCTAGTGGGGCTAGCAAGACGGGACGGGACACGGATAGGACAAGTGCGCGGGAAAACATCGGGTCCGATGCGGCCTAAACGTCGGTTTGGCGGGTTAGCGTCGGATAACATCGGGAAGTGATTAGCATGTGACAGGTATTTGGCGTGTACTGTGAAATAGCTCGATACGAGCCCAGCGCCAGCTCGTGTCCTACATCTCCTACGAACTTTGAATACTGACTGTCCCCAGTCAGCGGTATGCGGGAAGTCTTCACCAAATTTGCGGGTTTCTAAGTCACGTGACCAGCGGGAAATGCGGCCGAGACTTTCTCGCGATTTCTGCATATAAACCCGAGCCCTTGACAACTGCGCTTCTCTTCTTTCATTCTTTTCCCCTTCATCTAATCTCACTATGGCGTTCCCCTTTGACACTGCACAAGTCTTATCTCCTGAGGCTGAGTCTCTCCAGCGCGGATTTTCGGAACTTCGGCAAAAGATGGAGGCCGAATCGAAGTGCGTACCAGATGATAGGCCGGATCTCATGGTGGAAAAGGAAGAATGGTGCAGGAGGTGGAACAAGATTTCGGTGCGTCGCATTTGCTGTGATTTTCGGGTTTTCCGTGCTAATATCCGAAAGTCCGATATCGGAATCTTTATAGCGGCCGGAAAGGATAAGGGTGTCGCACTTGCGTTGACTGCGGAGGATGTTGCGAGGGGTAAGGAATTGGTGGGGATTCATGATCGCTTCGTGGAACAGCTGCATGCGCTCAAGGAAATGGCCGCGCGTCAGGCCGAAATTTCCGAACCTCAAGGCGCACCTGCGGATGTCTCGATGGAAGGTGAGGGCGATGAAGAAGAAGATGCGGACGGCGAATCCGAAGTTCCGATTAAGCGGCCGACTCGGGTGCGCAAGGCAAAGCATCCTGCGCCGAAGGTAAGTCCGAAATTTTTGCGTTTGTCTTACGCTAGATATTTCGCAAGGATGATGATTCTGATGATGGAATGATCCTTCACGACCCTCCCTGCGACCGCTGCGCTAAGCGTGACACCGAATGCTTCGGACCCGAAAAACGCGGGTGTACAGAGTGCCGGAACTCTAAACAGGCATGTTCCTATTCTCGTATTGGTGAGTTTTCCTCTTTTTCGCATTTTTCGGCGTTTTGACTCCTGTATTTAGCGCGCGCCAAGGGCAAAGCGTCTGCGCGTCGGCCGATGGCGGCTTCCAAGGTTCGGGTCGGGTCTTCGCTCGGATCCGAACCTCCTATTACGATTTCCGATGGTGAAGATATGGCATCCGCCTCGCGTATTTCGAAGACAAAGCCGGTGGTGCTGATTCAGGGTAGGAAAAGGAAGTTGGCGGATGTAGAGGAAGAGGATTTCGCACTTGCGGATTCGGGTTTGAGCGGAGAGGACCTGATTTTGGCGGGTAAGCTTCGGGGTGTCTATGCGAAGTTTCGCACTATCCAGGGGCTGATGTCCGAAGTTGCGAATGAGTTGGACATGATGCGGGCGCATGTCACCAAAAAGGCGCGTTTCTGAATACTGTCTCTTTCAATTTCTTTCTGCTTCTGTACTACCAATTAGCGTTTCTCCTAGCTGTACAATGTATTCCGCGTGTTTTCCGAATGTCAAAGCGTGATGTCCAATGAATTCTTCTAATGTCCGAAATGTCAAAGCGTCGGGTCCGATGCGATGTCCGAAGTTTCCATGTATGTCCTGTGTCCCTTGTGTCCGTGTCTCGTGTCTTGATGCTAGGTCATCCCCTACTAGGGTGTCTAATAAAAAACAATGAAAAAAATAATCATAAGTGCCAGACGAATTTTCGGATAACGTAGTCAAGATGATACTATGGACGCAGATTACCATCTGACTTGACTTCTTCGTGCAACTTTTGACTGTCTTTCTTCGGGTTTTTCGGGTTTTTCTACGTATATATAAGGGTGCGCGCGCGATGCGCAGTTCGAAGATGAAATGCTATATAAATAGGGGTTATTAACGCGCGTTCGGATTCGAATGTCTGTGTACTATTAGTTTCTTCTGTAGGTGCGGATGTATGAGGATAGTGGTTTTTCGGGTTATTGAGATATGAAACACCGGCCTAATCCCGGGGTGAAACGTGCAAGCTATGAACATATGTGCGCGTTTTCGGGTATCGCGTTACCCGAAATTTCGGGGTTTCGAACTATAGCTTTTCCTAAGGTAAAGACGTCGTTGGCTTTCATACTGGTAAAACGCGATCTGGGAGTGCGATGGACGAGGGTATTGAAAGCGTCGGTAGACCGGATGATGGAATCGGATATTTCGGATCCGATGCGACGGGTGACGATAGGGCGAAACTATGCAGGGAAACTGCGGGTAAACGGGGCATATCTTCGGGATGATGGGGAAATGTGTTTCGGGTGTTTCGGGCTTTGACGTGCGGATTTTCGGGTGTGACAATTCAAAATGATACCTAGACCTAGTGACATAACCGGTGAGAATTAAAGCGACGGCTACTGCGTGAACGAAATGATCAGTGCGATCTGGAGAAGGTAAAACGAGTTCGTGATCTAAACTCCTGGTACAAATATCCCATATTTCTGGGAATTCGTCGGCCGATGTTTCGGGTATCTCGGGTACGTTGTCTTCTAGCGACGTTAGCTCTGAATCTAAGACTTCTGATGTTAGTACGTCTGCATCAATGACTTCTACGAATACATCCAATTGTTCCGATGGTAACTGAACTTGTCCGAAGGTCAAGTCCGAAATTTCGGAACTTCGGACTCCCTCTGGGGCGTCGGATGTTGTGATAGGGTCTTCGGGTGCGGAGATTTCTATTTCTGAAGTTAGGCGTTCTTGTGCGGGTGTGTATTCGTCACTTAGGTGAAGTGTCCACCATTCATAATCATCGGATTCCTCGGGTTCGGGTATTTCGGGCTGCGGATCGGGTCGGGTATACTCGTGTATGCCTCCTTCTGGGTAGGACGACAGAATTTCGTTAGTAAAATCTAACCAAGATGTACCTCGGGCCTCAGGGCATCCTGCCCATAGTTCTTTGTGGTCGCATTGGATATATCTGAGAGTATACTTGATGAGCTCAGTGTCCGATAAATTGCACTTTTGTCCGAGTTGGTCTACAGATTGCAAAAATGCGAAAACTCCGTAAACATCGCCGGTGAATCTTGGGGCTGATTGTTCTGTCCTGAATGGCATGCCAAATCTGTCGGGCATGATGGGAAAAACTGCGGGTACGTCGGAAATATCGTCGGGCCGTCGGGTCCGAAGTACGGGTTCGTCGGGAAATCCTAAAATCAAAATCACTTAATCAAAACTAAACCAGATGGACCCCTCGCGGTGGGCTCCAGTTGTAGAAACAACAATACTGAGAGGAACAAAACAAAGATTGCTCCTAACTGATATATTTGTGTTGTGGTCTTTGCACTGCCTATTCTGCTATACTTGCCTGACAAGTGCGTTCGACCCAGGGGTCTGCGGTCTAAGAATAGTCTTGGGGGTAAGTGAGTGATGTGGGGTCAATAGTCCGAGCGCGGGAAACAATGTCCAAAGGTATAATTACGATGTCCGACGCAAAAGCGTCGGGTCCGATGTTTTCGGGGTTTCGGGATATCGGGTTCGGGATGTTGGAAACTAATAGTAACGCTATAGCGAGCGTCGGAAGAGCGAGCGGTGTGCGCGATAATAACAATGACTGATATGGATAATGAAAGAGCGATGATATTCGCAATATCAACTAAGAACTACGAAATATCGGGTTTGACCACTAAGCGTCGGGGAACTGCTCCCCTCTACTTGGATAATGAATAATGCTCGAGGTCAGTCCAATATATATGTAAGTACGTAGAAATGCGGAACCCATAGGCGAAAGTAGCGGCGGAGTATTTCGGATCCGAAGTACATGTAAATAAACATGAGGCGCTGCGGACTATGGGAAAACATGTAATAGCGCTGGCTACGACGTGAGTAATGTGCGAAATAATGAACTACACACCTAGTGGGGCTAGCAAGACGGGACGGGACACGGATAGGACAAGTGCGCGGGAAAACATCGGGTCCGATGCGGCCTAAACGTCGGTTTGGCGGGTTAGCGTCGGATAACATCGGGAAGTGATTAGCATGTGACAGGTATTTGGCGTGTACTGTGAAATAGCTCGATACGAGCCCAGCGCCAGCTCGTGTCCTACAGCGTCAATTTCACCTGGCCCAAACGAATTCCCATGCATCAGCCGATGTGCAAAGCTGTGCACTTGGACAGAATCTTAACTCATCTGCTGAGTGCTGTACAGTTTTCGGCAAATACTCACCATCATACTTTTGTCAGTAGCTGAGCGCTGAGTCTTATTACATGGATCTCACCGCTCTCAGACATCCAAACATCTGTTTTTCACTGCGATAAGGAATTTCTCGAAGCGTTGGTCCTTGGCTCATTCAATGTCGTCTTCAGCCTGGTCCTTTATTTGTGAGACACTACAGACTTCAAAGCACGTCGATATATATCCTCAAATTGAAATATGATGACATGTGGAACAGCACAAGCGATTATAATTTTGGTGGCAGAAGTTGTTAGCGCTTTGGTCACGAGCGTATGGTTACCATGGGGTGCAGGAGCAGCCATGGGCCTCATCAGCTTCCTATTTTGCGTTGCATGTATCGTGGTTGCCGTGCTGCTAGTTATTTTGACCTCAACTGTAAGGCTACCTGTCTCTGTGAAGTCCAATGCTAACAGCTCGTTCAGATTTCAATAGGCGCAGGCGCAGGTGGTTGGGTATCTTACACTGTTTCTGATTCTTGTTATCAAGGTCATCGAAGCTGTTGTGTGCATTCTTGGTCGGGTCGGCTTTGATCACTCCAGACGGCCAGTTGATAGCAGATTGATCGGTGTGCTTTCTCTTCTCAGATGTTGTGGGCTATGGGGAGGTGGTTGCGAACGAAGACACTACCAAGCCACTTCATCTCCCAAGGATTCTGGAAAGTCATTCGTCGTTATTCGGGCACAGAAGCCTCAATCATCACAACCCGATACTCATCCACACATTCATAAGGTTAGATACTCAATGAACAAAACTGGAGCAGGACCTTCTTCGCAAGCAAAATCTCTGAAGCCATGAATTGACATTATAATGTGCATACACACCTTTTACGCTTTGTTCTTACATTGTCCTACTTTGCATTTATGATGTACCACCTCGTGATTCTTACGGTACGCACCATCTTGCACATGTAATATCTACTGCACTCGTTGTCTTAATAACCGAGGGTCTTATATAAAGTGTGTAAGAATGTAATGACACCACAATTACACTTGGATAAGACTTCTTGCCAGTCCTCGATTAATACGGTCTACGACTTTTCTAGTTTTCGTGGTAGATAACGTGTGAGTTCTTGGGAGGCTCGCTAAACCAATCAGGTGATCAACTTAGCCGGAGCTTTTATGTGTACCTCCAATTGCTTTGTCTAGGATTTGCTACCTATATTCAGAACTGTGATCTGAAGTACAAATAACTTTGCCTAGATTGCACGTTCTAGGCACTGAAATGAACTGGGTAGATTTGACCAAGGCACGAGTTGGTCAAATAGGCACAAATAGGAGTAGAGACAAAGGGGTCTCTGTAATATCACGTTGACCAAAGATTGGTTGGTCAAATAGGCACAAATAGTATGGGTGAGACAACGGTCTCAAGAATAATCATGTTGACCAAGGCACGAGTTGGTCAATTAAACAGTAAAACAGGAGAGACAACGGTCTCTAAAATCACGTGGACCAAAGACTGGTTGGTCAAATAAACAGTAACGTAAGCTTCTTATTGTAAGAAACTTGTATTCTCAAGGGATACGTTTCCCTGCACTTGTTCTGCTACAAGTGGAAGATCTTAACAAGTGAGATGTCTTGTTCAACTGAGGGAGTTTCTCTGAGAAGAAAATTTCCTAGAAGAGGGATCTCTATTTTTTGGGGGAGAATGGGCTCTCCTTATATACATTTTGTGTGGGAAAGTAATGTAGGTTCGCAAACAATAAAATAAAGAGAGAACCAATCAGAATATTGGGTGAAACCCAATAAAAGTATAAAATACAAATAAAAGATGGAGCAATGACATCAGAGATGACATCATAGTGGGGTTAGAATATTCTAGAGCCTATGACATCATTATGACTTCATACATTACATCATAATTTCCAACAGAGTAGTCTAGAACTTTCTGTGGAGCTATATGACATCATTATGACATCATACTCAGAAATAATATTTTCTGGAGTATCTGGTAGGTCATAGCATCCTAAATAAAAGAAAATAAAAGAACAATGCTAAAGAAAACAAGATACAAACAATGATACAAATACAATATGCAAGACACGGGCTTTTTAGATAGGTTTTTGTTAGGCTTTGAGCTTTTCTCAATGGTTTTCTCTAGCCAAAGTGAATAAGCCAAAGGTAAGGCAATACCTTAACCTTCATTTTTACTTCACATATTAACTAGGTCATTCTGTGATTCCCATTTCACATATGACTTTTTCTTCTTCTTCCATATAAAACTTGAAATATAGGACTGAGGTTTGATACCAAGGTATGGGGTGACTAGTCTGAGGACTGTGCTAACAGACATAATCTTTTGAGGGTTATTCCTAGTAGTAGTTATGTCTATGCATGATTCCTGTATCATGCAGGACATCGTGTATCTGAACCACACTCTGTTTTGTGTTGCTGGTATGTATGGTTACAGTACTGGATTTGATACATGCCCTTGACATGAGATAAATTAAGTTGTTGTGATTAAACCAAAATAAGATGTCCACGACTTGAAATATGATAACACATTGCAGTGCATGTCATTTTGAGAACGAGCAGGCCAGAATCACGAGTTGGGGACTGGTGCGCAAGCACCGTTACAATATATAACGATATATGACAATATCTGAAGTCTTCTCACAGGTTCTCTGATCGGCGCCCGTCCACCTGCCTCCATGCATGACCTCATTCTGCCTTGCTTTTCAGCTCACTTACTGCCATCCTGCAAGCGCTGCTCTTCACAGTGACACAATGTTTTGCATTGCACATGTTTGGACTTGCAGGTGCGTTTTTTGTCTTGTATTTATGTATCAGCATGACTTACAGATGTTCAACCTAGCACAGTTTCAGGATACGTCAGTGCTCGCTGACACAGCTGTACTACTGACTCTTCTTCAAGTTCATACATACATTGTTGTCACTCATCTGCCTCAAAGTAAGTAATATTTTCCTGATGCCATGACCATGTCCTGCTCTCAGTGGGTGCGTGATCTCATGTTTTGAGCTTCTTAGCGCACGCTGATGGTGCAACAGCCGCGTCTCAGTCTCAGGCTGTGCGTGATCTCATCTTTCTAGCTTCTTAGTGGACGCTATCAGTGCCACGGCCATGTTCTGCTCTCAGGTGCATGATCTCTTTCCTGCTCTCAGTGGGTCTATGATCTCATCTTTAGAACTTATTAGCGCATGCTGATGATGTCATGGCCATGTCTCAGTCTCAGGTTGTGTGTGATCCCGTCTTTCTAGCTTCTTAGTGGACACTATCGGTGCCATGACCATGTTCTGCTCTCAGGTGCATGATTTCTTCTTTTGAGCTTCTTATCTGACATTGATGGTGCCATGGGCATGTCCTGCTCTTAGTAAGTACGTGATCGTGCAGATCCCTAGATATTGTCGACAACTATGACAGGCTATATCCTTCATAGCGGTGGGAAGACCCAGGCGCATATATCCAGGGTGCTCTTTCAGCCTCTGACACAACAACACGCTCTGGCAAATCCAAATGAAGTGCCAAGGTAACAAGCCTAAGTCGTCACAGCCTCTTGTTATTACATGTACTCAGTCCTTGTTCTTTTCCAAAAGTACCGAGGTGAGTCAATGGGTAAGTCCATCCCCAATAGCCCTAATTGTAGTCTATATTGATGCCATTCATTCCGGTACAAGTCCAATATATTTTCTGTCCGGCTAGAAGTAAGGCAAGCCACAGTGTACATTCAATAGCTAAAAGTACATCATGGTAGGTAGAAAGCATGGCAAAATAAAAAAATGCTAAACTACACCTGGACTTTCTTCACTCGTACTTTAGGGACTCTGGGTGGAATCATGGAACTTGGTTGTCATGACTCAGATGTTGAAGCAGACTTCTACCGCCACACATTTGTTGCAAGCCTAACTTCATCTTAGTTGCGGACATTGGTTGTATTCAATAAATTTTCAAGCCTAGTCCTGGTCTAGAACCAACCAAGCGCATAGCGAATATGATCTTTTACTGATACACAGTATAAAAGTATATGAATTTATTTTCTAGTTTCATCCCCATAGTTTGCCCTCTCTCATTCCATCTCTGTAGCTCATCCTCGTTGTAATTCATTACTACAATGCCAGGTAAACAAGGGCAAAAAACTTGGACAACTCCTGATGAGGAGACCTTCCTCCAAGATAGACTCCCTGCATATATTGAATCTCGGGCACAAAGGGCATATGATAACTTTTGGGCTGAAACGTACCACAGATTTTTCGAATGTTCACCTGAGCGAGCATGTCTATGTAGTGTCCCACAGGGTGGGGAGCTGACTGACTTACAGAGAGATCAGCTAGCTCAAAAAATCCTGAAACTCAAAAAGGTTGAGTTGCGTAATTATATCATGATAGATGTACTTTTTGACACATTCTCCAAGGCCATTAAAACTTGGTATCGATGGCGAACCAATGTTGCACATCTAGCACGTTCCAGTGGATCCAGGGGTGTCTTAAGGCTCGATATGACACTGGCGGGTGCCGATGAACTTTGAGGGACACGCGCTCCACAGGAAGTAGAAATGTACTCACAGATGTATTATGAAGATCACGTCAAGGTTGATGCTGATGCTGCGATCGCTGCTGAGGTTATCACTTCATGTGGTGACAAGTTGTTGATGTGAAAAATCATCACCCACGATAAGTATGCCAAGGAACCTGAAGAGATCAAAACAGAAGTTAGGAGACGACACCAAGAAGCCCTGGATAAGTGGAGACAAACCCGTGAACTAAATAGAGCTGGGCTTGTTGAGGAGGCTGACGAAGAGACAAAAAAGAAGTATGGACTGACTTGTATGAGTTGGCACAATGCTGACACATCACCGGTAGAGCCTTTTTAGAACTGGGAGGACACCTTGACCATATTTTTCGGCACCTCTCCCACAAGACGGGGGCCTCAAGTTTACCTGTATTGCTGGCGGACGAAACCCTATCACTGGAGAAGTGGTGGTCTTGGAGTAAGTGTTTGAATTTTTGATGGGTACTATCATTTGACTTATGGATCCTTAGCTTTCATCTTGGAGACACTGAAGAAGGAGCCGACTTCTCTGCACACTACCCTAGGTTCTCTGAAGTTCAAGCTGTGTATGCTACCTTCCTGTGGGAGGCACTCTGTAAGTATAAGCTTTTTGCTAACATATCATATGCTGACTTAGCTTTGACGCTCTCAGCATATAATAACAATGTGCAGGCATTAGAGAGGGACAATGAACATGACCACTGCAGTGGAGTGGATGAGGCCGAAGGTGGGAATGTTGAGAGCGGTGAGGATGAGTTGGAGAATGACACTTATAATGTGCTGGAAGAGGTGAGTAATGCATTAGGACGATGGAGGTTTGAAACTAATGCATCACTTTAATGCATCAGCGCGACCTGAGTGGTGAGGACTGGGATTCAGGGAACGACACTTATACTATGTCAAAAGAGGTGAGTAATGCATTGGGACAATGCAGGTTTGAAACTAATGCATCACTGTAATGCATTAGTGCAACCCTGGGCCCATACCAAGCCTTGCAACACCCTCCGAGTTGGCGTCACAAGACTTTGTGAGTAATGCATTACTAATATATGGGAGATATTCGACACTAATGCATTGCTTGCTCTGATTTTAATGCATTAGGATTCCTTCTGGACAACAATGCCCACATTGGTTACTGACGTACTGGGCAACACCAATCACAATATCGCCCTTCAAGGTGTCAGCGCATCAGACTTTGCTGAAATTGATAGGCTGCTTGCGGTGATGCCGCAAGTTGATTTGAATTTCTTCGATAACCTGCAAGTCCCCAGCTTCAGCTCAGGGCCCGAGTACAACAATTTCACAATCTCAGAGTCACAATCCACTGCAGGGTCAGACTATAATTTCATGTTCAATGATTTCTCCTTCACAGGAAGTGACTTTGAGACTTCAACACCCCGTTCAAGCCCTAGTCCAACATGTCCTGTCCACGAACTTGAAGAAATACCCACCAGCATCAGTTCAGACTTCACCCTTTCATGTGTCACACTACCTGCAGCCCCTCCAGTGCAATTGCCAGAACAACAACCTGAAGGTCCATGCCAAACTATGCGCCGCCATGTCCCATCAACACGTAAACAGGCACTCAATGCAATTGGATCTTCAAAGTCTCGTGTGTGCCTGTCGGGAGATGTTGGAAAAGAGAATTCACTATCTGGAACGAAGCGGAAGGCAGGTGCTATCAGTGGTGCCAACAAGTAAGTCTTGCCCATATGACTAGCCTACACTTGACTGAAGTTCATTCAGGAAACAAAAGCGCCGCTGATTTTGAGTGTTAGTCTTATTTCACATTGACTCCTGAAGTTCAGTATGTTATTCTGGCCATTGTTTTTTTTACTTGGATCATCTTCGACTACAGTTTCACTTCGCAGCGCATGGATTGCGCACAATACCCATTAGCTCATTGATTTGGTTGCTCTGACTTCATTCCTTTCGATTATGATACCACGCCGTGTCAATGCCAATGACCTATTCATTTTCCGAATCCCATATTGTGACTCATACAATACATGGGCTACTGTCATAGACTTAAGGCAGCATTTTCATTACCCAGAATACCAGTTGTTGCCTTGTCCATTACTTGTGAAAGTGTTCAATCTTGCTGAGTGCTGACTCGAAATACTGACTCAGACTGACCGGCACTGCTTCTCAGCATCAAGCAAAATAAAGGCAGACCAATTCTAGAGTTACAAAGAACATTGATAAAGCGCTGTAGAAACAACAATACTGAGAGGAACAATGATGCTCCTGACTGTATCTATAAATGTTGTGAGGTCGTGCGTTGCCTAGTCTGCTATACCTGAGACGACAAGTGCGTTTGACCCTAAAGGGGAAGCGAGTGCAGCAAGGATCTGGTAGTAGGCGCTGAAGGTGCTACTGGTCGGCCAATGCGAAGCGCGGGAAAGCGAAGGTGCGCGCGAGGCGCGGGAAGCACGCGCACGCGCGTGAGCGGAAACAAGTGAGAGTAAGAGTGAGTTTGCTTAAGTGGTGATATGATGCAAGACAAGAGATGTGAGTGTGAGGTGCCAAGGAATAGATTGCAACTATACTCTGCTAGGTAGTAAGTGGGTAAGTGGGAGGTCCAGTGCAAAGTTCGAAAGTTATTTAATAGTATGTAATGCTGGCACTTATATACGGCGCCTAAGCGCTGTCACACGGAGCCGAAGCGCTACCGAGTAAGGTATGTAAAGCTATATGTAAGTAAGGGTCCAAAATAAAGGTGGAACGATACACAGATAAGAGAAATGGAAACATACGCACTAGAGAACTTGGTGGACAGTGGATGGATGCTTCCAAATGGCTGGCGCTATAGGGCGCTCAAGCGCGGGAAAGCGCGCGCGCGTATACATAGTAAAGCGCGGGAAGTCGTGCGTGCATGCTGCGCCTTGCGCGGGAAAGCTGCACCTCGTAAGGGAATAGCTGTGGATAGCACACAGAGTGATGCTACAAGTTCGTGCTATGTACTCCCTAGTGAATACTGCCATATCATGCAATGAGAGGCATGAGTCTCTACAGCGCAAAGCAGAATATGCAAATACAGGTGCAAGTAGTTACAATCAGCACAGAAAATGAACTGAGTTGTGATTCGCTGTGAATGGAGCTGCAGATGCAATGATGATTGCTAAGGAGGTAACATTATACATAGTACAAGCAGACCAGTCACCTTCGGACGTCGCACCTGTTTTACAATCAATTACAATAACAGCTGTCTGTATACTACGATCACCGTTGTCTTCTCCTCACCCTCTGAAGGAAATAGCACACGAATGTCATGCCGACATTGCACTTTGGATAGCGCAGTGTAAAGCTGTCTGTGTGTGAACGAATCTGCGATGCAGAGTGGCGATGCGCACACGCACATTTCGCACCAATCCATTCTCGATGGACATGTTGCGTTACTGTAGCCTTGCAACCGGCCTCTTGGGCTTTCTTGAGTGAAACAAAGGTCTGACCACCTTTGAAGGTAAGTTAGGTAGAAGGGAATACCGTACTGTTAAGAACTATGAGCTATATCCATGGTCGAAGGTATGAGAGACTCACAGTCTCCATCCAGACATCTGAATTACTGTGATTTTCGTTCAGAACATGAAGGCAAGTTCAAAAAATGTCATCCACGTCTCAGCCAGAGTGGAGCACACACATGATGACGACATGAATTGGTTCCACAGGATCAAACACTCCGTCCTTACAACACATAGATAGAAGATGGCACAAGGTAAACAAATTAGCAGAGACCGAACACATGCCAGAGTGGCTCACCTCAGTCCAGAGGATATGACTGTTTGTAGAAACGATGAGAGGAGGAAGTATCATGCAGCCAGAGAGTAGTACACAATGGGAAACAAAAGACAGGGACGTACCAGAGGGGGGCACGGAGGTCGGAGTAGTACTATGATAGCAGGCAAGTATGAAGGGGGCGGGAGGGAGTGGCAGGCCATCAGAAGTAGTACTACTTATGTATGTGGGAAGTACACAATCAACAAATATCGAAGGGGCATTAGTGGGTGTTGTAATGCATTACTTCATATAGAAGCCCGTGTCAGTTGATGCATTATGGAGTTCTTCATCGTTAATGCATTACAAGTGTCTTCTAACTAGCCTGTATTAATGCAATAAAATGACATTATAGCCTGCATCTCTGTACCTCATCCTTGCGTGCTATGGTGCCCTTCAGAAAGATATCGTATGATGCTTTCGTGACAGATATAACAACTTTCTTCAGCTCTGTGCGAAACGCAAATAGATCATCACAGAGCTGACAGTAAAGATATAAGTTTATTGTACATCCATTAATGAGATACTTACCAGCCGCGACATTTGTGTCACGTACTGCGGGAAATAACCTAAGAACTCAGATGAGATTCGCAAAGGGGGTCAGGCAATGCGAGGAACCTATTCTCGATGATCTGGAATGGGATGCGTTAGAACAGCCTGTTGGTGCATTTTTAACTTCGCCACCTGCAAAAATGCTTGCCAGGCAGGTGGGTAAAAGCTGAGCTTCACGGGGTCCTCTTGGGCTGTCTTGGCCTTGCGCTTATTTCTGCGTGAATCTGGCTCGTCACATGTAGCATGACTGGGGGAAGTGCTTCGCCTAGATGGAGAACACTGATGAGGAGACTCCATGCGGGGGGGACACTGGGATACGTGTGTAGGATACGTGTGTTGGCAAGAGTGCATGCGGGAGGAAGTAGGGTGCGTAGATGGGGCACACTGAGATGTGTGTCTACGAGGCGATACCGAATGCCGATATGGAGACCTTGAGCGTGTAGAACGGCGAGAGTGCATGCAGGAGGAAGTAGGGCGCATAGACAGGGCATGCTGAGATGTGTGTCTATGAGGTGATACCAAACACCAATATGGAGACCTTGAGCATGTAGAACAGTGAGAGTGCATGCAGGAGGAAGTAGGGCGCATAGACGGGGCATGCTGAGATGTGTGTCTATGAGGCGACACTGAACACCGATCTAGATACTTTGAGTGGGTAGAAGTACTGTGGGGTGAGCACTCACATTTAGGAGGTCGCGCTAGAGCAGAAGACCCAGTAGACACCACATGTCGAGGTGATGGTCGACGAGGAGACTTCGAGTGGCTAGAAGCATGTCTGCATTCAGTATGTTTTGCCTTCGATAGATAAGTTAAGGAAGGAGCCTTGCGCCGTCCATTCTTCATTTGATGACGCTCGAGAACATCAAAAGCTTCCTAAGAACATGTGATAAGATTAACCTCAAGACAAAAATTAAAACACTTTCCTCTGTTTTGTCTCTGGCTGCGTTGTCAAGCTCATTGTTGAAATCATCATCAATAGCATTGTCCTGAGCATCAGGCTTGTCCCTCTGAGTGTCAAGCTCATCGTCAAAATCCCCATCAATACCTTGATTTGAAATCCCTAAGCATTAGGCTAATTGTTGACATCCCATCATACCTTGATTCAGAAAATCGTCCACAGTGTCGGGCTCATGGTCGAAATCACAACGATTAAAATCTTCCTGAGCTTCACCTTCGTACTCGCCATCCAAATCATCTTTGTGTTGTCTGAAGTCCATGGTATCGCCTGTTTCGAGTGTTTGCTCCTGGTCCTGAACCCCATCCCTGCATCGGGCACATGTGACAACAGACAGATGAGATAGTAGTGGAAGACATACCTTTCCTCATTTTCCCCGTCAGTTTGGTCCTGCCTGGTCGTCGTCACCGATATCATGCTCTGTATCTTGATTTCCAGCCTCCTCCTCATGGGTATGCTCATTGGACCATGGTGCCTTCTGGATGTTCTGACTGCTAGTCGAAGTAGGCTGCCGAAACCCAAGCCTACCTGAAGACTGAGCTGTGCTTGGGGCTGTTTGGAGAGATGTGCCAGAATGTTGGTGTCCTGAAGTAGGTTGCTGACGTCCTGAATAGACATTCTTGTTGATAACAACGGAACACTGAGTAGGATTGGTGCTCCCGGTCAGAGACCTTTTAGTAGTAGCCTAGAAGAATGTTAGCTTTTGGGAGTTCATATTAGAACGTCAACTATACACATTTTTCTTCAGTTTCCAGAGCTGGGAAGGAGCCATGGGGTTTTCTTCTGCATCACAAATGTCAAGAGTGGTCTGCTTCCGACCTTTCCTCGCTGGGGCTGCTAAGGTTTCTCCAGCTTTTTTCAACTGGTCTGCATGTCCACCTTGGCCTCGTGTAGATCTCTCACTTTGTCAAGTAGCCTCGGAGACTTCATATGAGTGCCTGGCCCTCTTTTTCGGAGGCATCAAGTGACAAGGTGGGAAGTGTTGAGACTCGGTTTGTTACGCACTCAAATAGGTCTGTTATGCGGAGCCCTAAGAGGGGCGTTGTCTGCTAATGTTTGTGATGTAACCGGAAGGGTCCGGTATAGCGAGTGAGACTGGCGACATCGAGTTGGCAGATATCACAGACGCATGTGTCACGTGACTTCTAAGATGACAGTCTTTGAAGTCACTAGGCTCAAAGTGTGGACTGTCTTGTCCGACAATGAGACTATCAATCGAGGTAGACTTAAGCGTGAAGAGCACTTAAGAAAAGATACTAGAGACAGAAGCTGAGAGGCTTCTGAGGGAAGTATGTTCTAGGGAAGATTGAGTAGATTCAAGTTAGAGAAACTAGTACAGAGTGACCGACTACTTATACTAAAGGGAAAGGGTTGAGGGCAAGGTTACCGTACTGTGGGTGAGGGTAAAGGGGAAACGGAAAGGGTATAGGTACATTGGCAACAGAGCCTGATTAGTGATGGTAGGTTGAATGAGGAATGAGATTGGAAAACATTGGAACGAACCAATGGTAAAGATACAACGCGCATCAGGCGTGAGTCAGAGGAACATAAAGGGAAAGCCACATTAGTGGCATGAGTCAGGACGAGTCATAGTGCAGGCGCACGTGCGCATGTTGGTGCGATAGCGATGATAAGGTTGAGGAGGAGATGGAGATGAGGGACAAGAACGGTCCGGAGGATCCGGTCAACAGATATCCGGTAGAGAAGTGCGAGCCGGTAGGTGGTGAGGGCGAGGACGAAGGGAAAATGATAGGGAGGCCCTGTGACCGATGTTACTTGTAACAGTTCTAAAACCTGTTGCTACCAATTAGTACCCAGAGTCGTATCACATAAGCTGATGGTTTGACATACTAAACTAGCACAACAGAGTACGTGTACAGGTACAGTATGACTCCGAACGTAATAATAATTAGAGGCACAACAAGTTGAGTTTTGAGGAGGAGAAGGATATTAGGAAATACAAGAAGGATAAGAGACTTTAGAATTGCGAGAAGGGAGGCTCCAGAGTCCATAATACAGAGCGCCAGCACTCGGAAAGAGGATTGTGGGATGACATGTGTGAAAAAAAAGTTCAGATGCCTTCTCATTGCCTCCTCCAAGTCGTCTGTTTATTCTTTTTTTTCATGGGGAACGAGACGACGAAGGCTTGGAAAGTGCTGTAGAGGATATTGGAGGATTTGCTAATGATTTGCTAAGACAAGTGGAACAACATGGTAAAGGCTCAGATGGCCCTGCTGGGGGTGTATGAAGAGCATGGGATGCTGATGTGCAGGAATGAAGACTCTGCGATGCTGCTGTGCGGGGATGAAGACTCTGGAATTGTCCTAAAGGTGGTTCTTCACCAATAGATCTCATAAATACATCAAGTAGGTCAAGGACTCCAGCATGGGTCAGCTCTACCTGATTTTGGGGAGCATTCACATTGTAAACCATGGTGCCCCATTTTTGCACAAGAGGTCAGAATTCCGCAAAGTATTCAGATGTCTTAGCGACCAAGAATCTGCCTTGCATCAAAACCCCCATCTTTGCAAAACAGATTGTACTCAGAGCCAAATGGGTGTCTGCATTGCCCAAAGCCTCATAAGGGCTTGCCCACGGCAAAGTTTGCCGGGACCAGGTGGGTGCCAATTGGCCGTGTGGCCCCCCATACTTAGCAATAAATTCGAAGAAAATGTAAAATAAGGACTTGAGGTCATCGCTGGGCCGGTGTTCAATTAGATTCGTATCAAAGTCGACATCCTGCAGAGCACTAGCAGCCTGCAGAACAAGGTCGACGTTGTTGTCCACCTTGAAATCGTCCACATTGTTCGGATCAGCATCCTGGCCTGTGATGTTGGCGCCAACCTCAAATGGGGCTAGATCCAGCATAGCCTGAAGAATGCGGATAGAAATGTAGGGCATGGCCCCCTGAAAAAATGACATGAACAATGAACAGCTAAAATGTATACCGAAACTTACTGTACCATGCGAATAGGTGCTAGTTGTGCCTCCCGCTAGAATTGAGGCGTGATCAAAATCGATGAAGTAACCAATACCGTCATGAACAACAAAATTATTGGGACTGAGGTCCCCATGCAAGACTCGCTTCCCAATCATCATGTGATGAGCTGAAAATAAAAAGTTGATACAAGTATTTTGCATGCTCAATAAGACTCACCAACTACAAAGGCATGAAATGTGGTGAGCAGTTCTCATCTAGAGCTGAATTTAGATAATGGCTCTCCACAGGGGGACAAGAGAATGCAGCAGTGGAATCTGTTGCGGAACATCAAGTCATCCCGATGGCCCACGTCATATTGGCTGCGAATGCGCGCTGTGCAGTCAGGCTTTCCTTTGTAATACACATCCCAATGGTCTATGAGTTCAACAACATTATGGATGCCCTTGACCATCTCCAGGATGGTCGTTTCGTGCATTCTCTTCTCCTCTGTCACCCAACAATCTTTTAAAGTGTATGCATTCCCTGCCTCATCAATGACATGATAACAAACTGTTCCATGACAGAAAAGCCCATGGCTCTTCCACAGAACCTCCATAATAGAATATGTTTTGTTGTGGTTGTCCTTCACCCAGCCCTTCGCCTCGTGTGCTAAGTTGGGATGAGTTCCTGTGCATGCAGCGTTACACATGTGGATCGTCGGATCGAAACCTAAATGATGAATATCCAATAGAGTGAGGGTACCCAACATCTCTGTGAGTCGCACAGGGCCCGTTTTTTGATGGATGTGGAAAGGATGGGATATAATGAGACCGGAACAGTCAAAGTAATGTGCGCGAAGCTGATTGGCACAAATCAAAAACCCAACGACAATGTTCTCTCAGCATTAGGTAGGCTTTGGTTGTAGATCTCCAGAACACTGGTATATCTCGCTTTTTAGTGAGATCGCTGGAGGTATGCTCAACAAGGGACAGGATGTCTGCCCATGTCTTTCCCATGTTTTTGATGGCGAAGTCAAACAGGGCTATGTCGGGCTTCTGGCAGTTGTATTTGTCTGGTATAGGAGAGGTGGAGAACTCTGCGGACCAGTACCGGGATCCAGCCAAGATGTTGAAAGGGAGGTGGGGTTTCAGTTTGTGATGCAGGTGGTACTGGATGGTGTAGAAGAGACGCTGAAACTCTTTTTCGGTCGTCACGGGCACCTGTCTGTGCCTTTTCTTCGATCTAGAAGGCTGGTACTCTTGGGAACTCCATGTTTCTGTTTCAGATTGGCCATGGATCACCGAGTCAAAAGAGGGCTCTATGCCAAGCGCTGCACCCTTGATCTCTGCATCATCAATATCTGTATCATCATCCTCTGTAACATCATCCTCTGCATCCTCGTGCTCTGTGCCACTGTCCTCTGTACCATCGTCTTGTTTTGCGCCACAAGTACATTTGATTCCTTTTCTCCTGCGGTGGAATTTCCATTTGTCTCCAGAGTATGCAGATGGTCCTGTTCTGTTGTACTGAATTGTCTTGATGTTGCTTAATTGGAGAGTAGTTTTCATCACAAGATGATGAAAAATGGAGTTCTCCAACAGTATTCTGGCACCCCTTCCAATACCTTCATGAATCAGGTGGTTTTTCAGCTCTTGCCTAAGGAGAGCTTGTGTAGTATCTAAGGTGCATGGGCCAGAAGGGATACCAACAGAGCTTATTGTTGCATAGAGCAAGAATTTGTCGATGTTGGATTGCCGGGATGACATGGATGACTGCATTGTCCTAGTCAGGTGGTCAACGACCAACTTGTCATTCAGGCATGCAACTACCAATTAGGCACTAGGCAGTGTCCGGGCATGTTCCTTATCTGTTCATCAAAGGCATCAGGATCATCTGAGCACTATATAATATAACAATCTATGTATCTATCTGTTATGAAGCATGGTAAAGTGCATGATAAAGCTGCTTGTTGAAGTACTTGTTCAAGAAAAATGACGAGGAATAATGTGCAGAAGTCTCCTTTGTCAACCGTGCGTCCGCTGCAGCTCCCAGCTCAGGTATTATACTGATAAAAGCACGCAATTGCTTGAGGGGAACTATGTTACCTACTGGAGTACCATCCGCATGCTTAGCACGCTTCAATACATGCATCCCAGTGGCAGGATGGACTGCGCCAACCTTCAGGTTATGCACATAGCATAGATACTAATCTCGCCAGGTGATACAAGAGCCTCGTCGGGCCATTGGACGGATGATAAGCTGCACTTCACAGATGGTGTGCCCTTCCAAGAGTCACACTTCAGCCAGATTGATAAGAGTAGAAAAGGACTCACCCCTTAACCCTGACTGGGGCCACTCATACTCTCTATTGACATTGATAAGGACGGTGTCTTGTTGGCCTTTCGGCCACCCAGGACATGGTGGAGAGGCATGTAAGGTTTGCGCTGGTAAGATGACACATGGATCATGGAAGGAAACTTCCTGCAAGCGAACTGTGTGCCAAACTTGAACACGATCAAAAGGCAGAGTAGAAGGACGGTCGATTAACAATCTTCTTGAGACTCCAACCCCATGAATCACATCTCTGTTCCTCGCGTCAAGTCGCAAGAAGTTTGAAATAGCATCCCGAAGATCCGGTATGTTGAACTCATCTGCGACATCGTCAATTTTCATTCCAGTGCAAGTTGGACTATAATTTAGATGGATAGTGGTATTATCAGTGGTAAACATTCGAGGAGGATGAGGGCTAGGTCCATGAGGTACAGTAGCCGCCTCCTTAGCTTTGATGAAGTAGTTGGTAGTGACACGTGTGCGATTAAGTCCCTCCAGGAGTGCAGTTCGTTGATCAGTAGATGGTTCTTCGAACTCAGCAATGTCTTCATCGTCTCCCTCATCCACAGGTAATTCTTTGGGGTCTGGATCAAGGACACCACTCTTCAACGTCATAGCAATCGCAAATTGCCGCAGCTTGTCCTGTTGATCTAAATGACAGCAAATTTGAGGATCATAATCATTATTATTGGTTTGTCGTGCAGGTTCCTTGATTTCGGACACATGTGCGTGTTCAGTGGCGTCCACAGACCACTGGATGAGGGCTCCAACTTTATGTGTGCTGGCAGTGATGCTCTGCATTAGCTCTAGCTTAGGTATATACCAATTGTCAATTGTCTTCTTCGTACCGGTCTGTGCACCCAACGTCATAGTAACATCTTTGTTTCGATGAAAGGTTGAAAGAGATTGGTCAATAGATGCCAATAAATTGTCATCCAGAGAAGGGGATTGTGACATATACCGGATGTCCATAAGGGCACGGATCACGATCACGAATCAACGAGGGGCTGCACCGACAATGAGACCGACAATGTAACACTGTAGATCACGATGGACTCTGCCTGTAACTTGCTTGAGCTTCATTATTATGCCAGAATAGTGATGATAGCCTGTGACTGGCTGCAAAATCGAAAATCGAGTTCCTGAGCTCCAAGAACCGCAATGCACCACTGAAGGTCATGATCGAAAAATTGCTTATGCCAGTGATGCAGAGCCTCTGGAGTTAGAAAGACCGAGGGGCAAGCAAATGGCCAATCTTGCCAGAAGGGCGCATGGACACCGTTTAGACGATATATGGCACATGCATCAAAATAACCTTCAAGGTCATTGGGATCAATGTGTATCTTGGCGAGCTGACCAAGAGTGATATAGCGTGTACGTTCGGGGTGACAAAAATTGTCCCCAAACTCCAGATATGATGCCATCGTAAATGGGGAGGTTTTCCCGTGTACGCCTGCAAGCATACATGCCTCTGGGGTATCAACGATGTATGCTGCAAGGGGCGTATAGCAATGGCGAACATTTCCAACAGGATCAGACATCATTATCCCGATTTCGGCCGCGATCATCAATGGCTTTAAGATGATGGAAAGACATTGATGTATGAGGCGGTCTTCGAGAACACCTCATATCCGTTGATTAGGGTGTAAGTACTGCGGGATAGGGAGGAGTGCTGTGAGTAGGAAAGCCCTGGATGAGAGTTTCATGCGAGTTTGCATGCGGATATTAGCAAGACCGAGAAGGAGTGGATGAGCAACCCTAGCACCAGTCATAGTGGTGATATTTGTTTTGTCGGAAGAAAGGATTGTGCCAAGAATTGTAGCGCCTCTGGGCACTTGACTCTGTAGACCCTGTGTAAGGCAGCACACGTTATGGGGCTCAGATGCACATACCTGGAACTCCCAAGCAGAATCACCTGTAAGCCACTCCGAATAAACGTGGGTAAGCCGTGCTGCAGTTGTGTACACGCGATGAGGAACAAAATCAAGCTTGTCGTGGAAAAGGGGGTTGCTGAAGAGGGCTTCTAAACATTCGACTGGATCCCTCCAAAAAAGTCGGATTGGATTTTTGGTGCGATGGAGAGATGGGATAACTTGACACTTCCAGCTTGGTCCCTTGGGTAGCATCTCAGCTTGGCTTTGCAATTCTTGAGCGGTACTGAATGACAGCTTCAATCCGCGGATCTGTAAAGTAAGGACATGATCAGTAAAAGTGCGAGAAGGATGTTAAGAAATACGAAAAGGATAAGAGACTTGAGAATTGTGAGAAGGAAAAGATGCAAAGTTGTGAGTCCATAAGATCTCAAAGCGCCAGCATTTGTGAAGAGCACTCACCATTGGAAGCACTAGAAATTCATTGATTGCAGCCATACTAAGGGGAGAATGAAGGAGAAAATCAGTGATTTCCCATTCCTCTTTTGATGCAAAAGGATAGAATAGATTATCCTTTCTGTATTCTGCATACTCGTCCACGTCAAAAAGATCCAAGAACATCAGGCCGTCTGGAGAGTAACAAGTCCCTGCGCCTTCGTACCGTTCCTCTGCACTCATGCATTCCTCTCCCTCTGTCTCGAAGAAGTCAACATCAAAATGCGAAGGATATGCATCCGAATTTATACCATGGTGAGGAATTGGATTGGGGGACCGCCATAATTGTAGAGCTGACTCTGCAAACTGAGAAATGTCCACCATGTTGCGAATAGAACTATGACACAATGATCGAGGCTGACTGAGGTGACGAGTGATGCTGGACTCCTTGCTGAATACTTTCCCACATTTCGGACATGATATTGACATGGTTATTTGGAAGGAAAGATTTGTTCACACGCTTCAAGCACACTTCTTATCTTTGCTCATACACCCATTATACGAGTATATATTTACATATGATGGACTCGGATGATTCTGTAACTTCGTCTCCAAGCTCTTCTGCAGTTTCATCTTTGTCTTGCAATTCTTCTCCAAAAACTCAGTCCTTGCGCTCATATAGTACTTGCTTCAAGTATCGCCTTCAAAGACCTTACAATGCGACATCAGTTGGACACCACACATCCTGCTCTCCAAACAAAACTTTATCTTCTCAAATGCGATCGTGCGTTATTAAAGACGAGCACAGCTTATCTCCAGGCCTGCAGTTTGTGGGTTTGTGCATCCGGTGTTCCATCTTTGATTGTTCTTATTCATTGCGCATAAGGATCTCGACTACCCATTATTCAACCAATCAGACGAAGTAGACCACTCTGACCTTGCACTTGAGGCAGCTCAAGCAAAACGTAGGATTTGTCAAGCCCAAAAAGACCTCACAGACAGCATCTTGGAGCATCACATAGTACTCACTAACCTCCATCGCCGTCGTGTAGAAGCTGCGAACATGTGATTATTGATGGCTGACCTTGACGTGGGACGCATGCATATAGAGCAGAGGAGAAATGACATTCCAATGTTTATTGGGTGCAGGGCTGGTGGTACAAGTTAGGTACACTAGTTGTATCCTACGTTGATACATACTTGTATGATGTGTATAATCTGTATTGCTTGTACAATCTGTAGTCCTTGTGGTGTTTGTCCGCCTGTTTGTTTGTGCTTAGTGGCTCCAAATTTTGAATTGCTTGTATGTCTGTAATACCTTGTATAGTTTGTGTAGATTTGTTGTTCGTGTGAAACCTGTCACCAAATTAGTAGTTTGCTGATGTTATCAATCAGCGCTTCAGGTTCATACTCGCAAAATGCTCTCCAGGCCTACCGCAATAGCGATGGGGACTCTCGCCAGCCATGCCGTTTGAATCTGAACACCAGTTGTCACACTAGTAATGTGTCTGATCTATTGGAAGTTATTGAGAATTTCAATGCTATGGTGAGTCAGTCTTCTTTCAACGTTTTTGTAAAGTCTCACAAGGATCGGCATTTCAACAGTCCGTCAAAGATTCATCTGAAGGTGAAGCAAACCTAATGATGGACCTCGTAAGAGCGAAACACAACGTTTTTCGAGCTCAGAAGGACCTCGCAGATTCGATACTACGAGACAATGAGGTTTTGTCGAGCTTGTTAAGATTCCAAGCTGAAGCTGTGGGGAAGAGGTTGGATGATGCAGACCTTGGATTAGGATATATGCAAGTTGTCTTCAAGAAGCATGGTTGGGCTCATCACACTCAGGCTCCTCTATCCGGACTTGAAGGACGTCTGCATGCCGGTAAGCTCGTTATACTGGTATCCCAGGATGAACTGGTGTCTGAACATATCACAGACAACTTAGAAAATGCGCGGCATGTCACCATCCAACTTGATCAATTTTATTTGTTGGCGCTTTCCTCATTTTGCTTTTATGTTCGACATATGTACTATGTGAATTCTTACAATATCGTTTATATGTCCAAATTATATGTTGTCACATTGGTTCATAATTTTCAGTGTGCTACTAGTTTGAGTGATGTAAATAATTCCGGCGAGTCAATTAAGAGTTTGTCTTGAACTTGGGATAATATATAGTATAGTGTGTATATGGCCATGACACTTGCAACTTGAAACCAAGATTACTGTAATTGAGTCCTGTAGTAGTTGAAGTCTGGAAGAAACTGCGACTCTGTGAGTGACTGGAGGCAAGTGGTGCTGTAGCTACTGTATGCTGTGAACTTTGTGTGAACTGTGGCATTCTGTGGTTGGCTGTAGCTAGAATGCAAATTTAAGTCTTCTGTAGACAAAGTTGGTAGTTTGCTGATGACTGTTGTGATGATGAGCATCAGGAAAACATCGAGTTCCTTTTCGGTCCTTAGTGTACTTAAAGTTACTTAAAAATAGTCTTAAGGTAGGTAAGGAGAATAAGGAACTAGTGAGTTCCTTAGCGAAATGTATTCTAAGGAGCGAAGTCGTTACAAGGCAGTTAAGGCATCAAAGGTAGATTTATTTGCAAAAGTAAAATAAGGCGCCTGCTGAGCGCCAAAAAAAATATACATGTTATTTACGTTAGTGTTTTCTTGAATAAGCACTGATATACACGCGACAAACAACAACTCGCTTGACATCCACTCATCAACCGCGAAAATCTACAAAATCTAAGAAAAAAACATCATTGTAAGTTTTAATTGATAATCATCGCATCAATCATTGCTTACCAGGTGCTAGTGAACCGCATGGAAAATCTTGCGTGCAAGTGCAACAGAAGACGTGCAAGTGGGAAGATGTGACTGTCCGGGCGGAGGCCGCAATCAGAGCTGAGGCATTGGCAGAAGAAGCGGAGGTGAGGGCAGACGAAAGGATGGCAAGAGCAGACAAAATGAAGGCAAGAGAAGACAAAATGAAGGCAAGAGTGGGAGCGGGATTACTGGGCTTCTTAAAGAGGGCAAAGAGCCGCTTTTGCAGGAATCGAAATGGAGGGCGTGGCTCGAGCCTTGAGTGACTGTAGACCATGGTGAGTACAAGTATATCTCAAATTTGATGAGAACTTACCAATCATTTTTGCAGGAATTGAAACAGAGCGTGCAGCTCGAGCGTAGAGTGACTGTTGACCCTGGTGAGTACAAGGATATATCAAATTTGATAAGAACTTACCGAACTTTCCAATAGTCTCATCTTGTTGACTCGAAATCAGTACTGTCAGTTTGGTACAAGTGTATAATACAAACCTTGAGATCCATATTGTCCGTGCCAAAGAGTGCCTCGAAGAATGACTCTACAAAGACGGAGTCCTACCAGATCTCCACGGCTGCCATCATGGTACGCAAGCAGACTCTCTTCAGCAACATCAGGCTTGAGGTAGACAGTGAGGGAAGGTGTTTTGATTTTGGTAGCAACATTGATGATCTCCTTCAGATGTGGGACACCGAGTGTCACATTCTTACTGGAGGCGCCGGCATAATGGAACATATTGAGCATCATCTGCATAGCCGGTTCACCGATCGATTGAGTGGCAAGCATGCCACACATTTCTCCCAGGTTCACCAGCGACTGGTTGAACTTGGCCTCCACTTCGCCAAGTCAAATGCCTCTCTGGTAAAATGGCACTGTTCGAGTACGTGGTGAGTGGAGATGGTGGCCCATGGAGGAGGGAGGAGAACGATATACCTGGTAAGATGGTACTGTTCGAGTACACAGCGAGTGGAGATGATGGCCCGTGGGGGAGGGAGGAGAACGATATACCGATATTGTTCTGGTCTTGGAGCCTGCCGTACTCAATATGCTGAGCCTTGGATCTATAGGGTATTTGGTTAGCGAAAGGATGACAAAAGGAGAGGGAAAGACATACCACAAATCACGCTATTTCAAAAGCATGGTGATCTGCGTATCTGTTGACGTAGTATGAGTGGAACATGTCATATGAGTTGTGTGGACTTATTTTTGGGATAAAGTCTGGGCCATAGACTGGAATGAGATGGGCAGCATGAAAGATACAATTGACGTGAATAATTGAGATGTCTGGGATGTCATCACCAGTTGTCGTCGGTGTGATGACATACATGCCTGTGTTGGGATCGTGTTCTTCGCGGACATAAGAGTACCAATGAACTATGATGCAGGGATAGTATGATATCCGATAGTTAAATGAGAAAAAGCAAAGAACTCACGCAACTGCGAGTCCATTCATGGGAGAGTCGAAGTCAACACCCATGTTGACAAAGATACAGTCATGCCTCGGTTCACCAACGCGCCATGATGGTGTTGCCCGGATGTGCTCGCGACGCATACCTCCCGTACCACTCAGATCACTGGGTGCATGGAACGAGGCTGCAGCAGAATTAAAGATGGTGAGGTTCCCTAGGAATACTTGCACTGTTGCCGGATCAAACTCAGGAGGGTTGGGATCTTCTGAATGGTGTTGATCATGTATGGATTCTTGAATCATAAATGGGAGGCATGGAAGGTCGAGTTCGAGGCTGAGTGCATGAACATTTCGTACACAACCTATTCATTGTCAGAAAGGGTCCAGGAGCAAACTGATTCACATACAGGGAGTTAATGCAAGCCCAACATGGGGCTCCACAGCCGGTCCATCAATAATCTCACCAGCATCCACTTCAACAGAATGATTTTGAGGCTTGTGGATATGCAGACGCCCAGGACGGCCTTCTTGCACCATATCAGCCACTGATTCTAAGTCGTTGTCTGCAGGAATATTCTGACCTATTGGGGGTATGAGAAGGGCTAAATCGTCAGAGAGAAATCACGTACGTCTCCGGAGTTCTCCCAAAGCATTGGACAGACAAGAGCCATGAAGCATACCATGTGCCTCAAAATCTATGCGAGCAGCTGCAAGTTTGTCGAGGCATTGATTTGTTAGTAGCATTTGTCTGAGTGCGTCAAACCTGCTAGATCGGCGCCAAGGTTCTTTAACTGCCTTGATGTGCTTGGACTCGGTAATTGAAGAGCAAAGGCCGTTGGGTGCGCCAAAAAGTCAAATCAGTAATATGTAGTGGCACAGGGAGTGTTGACGTGGAAGGGAGAATGTTGAGACCACACCGGTTGTCTTGAAGATCTCCCAATATTGGTGAAAGTGGTCGAGGGCATCTTGTAGTTTTATGAGGTCATCTTCAGTGAGAGCCTCACGCCTCACAGTGTAGCAAAATTCTAAAAATGCACCGAATGTGCGCACCACATCTTGAGGAACGTGACCTTCAATTGCAGCTAGATAGACCTAAATACGAGTCAGCTCGCATGTCGTTTGAAACGGAATACACAGCATACCTTCATCAATGCCTTTGAGTCATCACCCATCCACTGCCGAAAACCTCGCCCATCAGGAAAGCATCGCAACCCAGCGAATGGGGCAACTGCTGCTATCCTGTATGTTATTAGTAGTTATCAGCAAAACATCATAGATTTGTGTACCTGCGGTCAATGTCGTCCATTATCTCAGCTGCATGACGGGTACCGTGTGTGATCAGTAAATACTCTCCCACCCAATCAACCAGATGATCCTTGAAAGTTCCCTTTATTATTTGATGCAAGATATCCGGAGATAGGAGCTCGTGGATGTCTGCTCGAGGAAAGTCATTTGTAAATGGCTAGAAAAGCCGAAAAGGTGAGATTGGACCTAGCGAGTTTCAGCGAGCAACTTACAATGAGATCAGCAATGATGCCATACTCATCCCAAGCCTGTTTGTATGTGAGTTGTTCAATGAGCAACTCGGTATGTGCTTCGCATCGATGGAGACACGGTTGAGAGCCGTCAAGGTCCTTCCCATGTCCTAGACAGCTATTTTGATAATAAATAAGCCATTAAAAGGCAAAACAAAGTTTGGTGATGCACCGTGGACACCAGTTCTGCACGACGCCAGAGAGAAGTATCTGTTCTGGATAGTCCGCAATGTAAGGGCCCAAGCCATACACCGTTCGTTGATAGTGGCCATCCGGAAAGCGTGTGACATCGAAATTTTCCATGAAAGGTTTCACAGACTCAAAAATCTTTGCAAGGGAGCACTGGAACAGCTGCCATCGAAAATTTCTGTATTTGATGTCATCATTATGTTCCTTCGTAGCTAGACAAATAAAGGTTATGATACAGTGATGCATTGAGAATAACAAGTACTTACATTTCGGTATCGCAAGAAATCTAATGAGCACAACACCATTGCGATGTGCCCATCGTACGCTATTGTGAATGTTCCTGATTGAGAGATAGAGTGGGTGGTATTCGGTCTGACCAGTAGCAACAGAAACAACAGTCTTATCACTGCCAATAATCAATGGTACAAATGTTGAACCATGATTCTCCTCATTTCGAGCGATATCATCCTTGAGATGATTGTTAGTGTGCCAAAAATGTAAATATGAAAAAGGCGTACTGCCTGTTTCCACGCCCAGTCACCAGACATAAAGTTCTTCCAATATTGTTTGTCCTTGGTAGTATAATTGCGGTAGGGTGAATACTCAATTCCTCCATCGAAAGCACAGTTTGCCAAAATGCTGCGCATCATTTGCAATGGATCTCTATACCACACATCATATTGTCCATCCATCCACGGCGGTACGTCTTGTTCAGGTTTGGCTCCATTGTAGCACAATGTAAAGCTCTTCCAAGGGGTATCGCTGAGTGGTGTTGCATCGATTGTAGCGTACATGTCCCTATGGTTTGCAAATGGGGGGGCGTCATTGTGCTTAATGAGAGTCGCGGCCCACAAGTCGAGAAGTGTATCAATCTGCTTTGCAGACATTTGATTGCGCGTGAATAAGAATTCCGCCATCTCAAATTCAGCACGATTGTCATAAGGCATCCAATCGGTTGGGAGGGCATCCGTATGAGGTGGCAGGGGTGCATCCTGGTTAATAAATGCCCCATTAGCATCGCATTTGAGTCCTAAGACAAAAATTGAGTAACAGTAAGATGAACTCCTTAAAAAACGCCCACCTGTGAGGTGTGAATGGAAAGTACAGAATAAGCACCCCATATCCACCCAAGTACCTTCCTCCAGTACAAAATCCTGGTCGCCTGCCGGGTCTTGATAGAAATTCTCATCGATAACACCTGCTGGAGTGGGAGAACGACTCCGTGGAGGTATGAATCCAGGACCTGTGAGCGGAGCTGTGCGATTGAGGTTTTGTATTTGTGGGGTGCCATGCCTCGCATGTGTGTGCTGAGTGAGGCCAGACTTGTTTTTGAAGACCTGATTGCAGTTCGGAAACCAACAAATGAGCCTGGTGACAGCTGGGGCCATAGTGGACAGTGGGCAGTCGTAGCAAGATGGATACCAGGGAGCAGAATACGTAGAATGGAGACTAGACTAATACTAAGTGTGTGAATCAGAAATTATGACATGCTCAATCAAAAAAAATATAACTTCACCCGTTCATTGCCACCTTTTGCTAGGGTCCATATTTTTTCAACACCTCACTACCAGCATTCCTCCAACAGCTTGTCCTAGATCTCAACATGCCTCGACCTGCAACACGCCCAGGGAATGTTAACAAACATCCTGGACAGATAGTTCTTGAAGTGAGTTGCGTAGCACGCCCAAAGGATGTAATTGCAGCTGAAAAGAAAAAGGCGTCAGCAGAGAAATTAGCCAAGGCAACCGCCTTGGAAAATGCTCAAAAGAAGGTCGCTGCAACAGAAGATGCTATGACTGTCGAGCAGATGGCTCAATGTGCTGGCCCAGGACACCTTGTCAGACCAAAGCCTAAGCCGTGCCCAGTGACCAAGGCAGCACCAACTGTAAACCCTGACAAGACGTGTAAGCCTTACACAATACAATGCTGTTGCAAGACTCACCAGTCCTTTGACATTTATACAGCTGTTGAGGCAAAAACGGTGTAGCGCGCGCGCGTATACATCGTAAAGCACGGGAAGTCGTGCGCGCGTGCTGCGCATTGCGTGGGAAAGCTGCGCCTCATAAGGGAATAGCTGTGGATAGCACACAGAGTGATGCTACAAGTTCGTGCTATGTACTCCCTAGTGAATACTGCCATATCATGCAATGAGAGGCATGAGTCTCTACAACGGTGTCCCAAAGCACTGATGCCCCGAAGAAGAAATATCCAGGCTTGAAACTCACCTTCAAGGATGGTGTCAACGCCAGTCAAAAGGTGTCCAACAATGGTACATCATCTACAATGTGTGTTGTACTAAGCGCGGGCAGGGGCAGTGACAGTGGGAAAAATTGAAGGTCGCTGTAAGTTTGTCTTAACTGCAATGTTACTCTTATCAGAGCTGACTCTTTATTACTTTGATATAATTCACTCACTACAATGTAGGGGATTTGAACAAGCCATATCGACAGAGGAGGTGGAAGTAGGGAAGTGGGCTAGAAGCATGGCATTGAAGTCCCAACGGAAGCCATCTGCACCACCAAGTGCACGTGCCAGTGGTAGGTTCAGTTTCATGTCTGCACACATTGCTAACAGTTTTTAGTGATTGAAAGCAGGGATGCGGCCATATCCAAAGATGAAAACCTACCTGAAGATCATGACGAGAGCATAACTGTGAGTCAGAGTGGTCAGGTGAGTGAGTTCATGATTGTGAATGGGGAATGCTTAAATCAATGCAGGGTGTCGTGCATATGATTGAGACTGTTGATGATGCCACAAGAGGACGAAAGCGTACCTTGTCCACGACCTTGTTGGATGACCTCGAACCCGAAGAGCGGCATGAAATGGAAGAAGACCAAGATGCCAATGAACATATTCCAGACGAGGATGAGGATGTTGACATGATGGATCAGCAGGGTGATATTGAGGTAAGTACTGGTGGGTCCTGTGAGATAGATGAATCGCTCACCACGATCATGGATCTTATAGGTCTGTGAAGTGTCCAACAGTCGACTCACAAGCTCTGTATGGAGAATTTGCTCTGGTCGCCTGACAACGCTGACAAATTCCTATGCAGATGTCAGTTAGTGTCATGGATACCACGATGGACGGTCCAAAATCCAAGTACATCAAAACTGAAAATGGATGTGCACAACATACTATACTCAATCTGAAGAAAGAAAAGCCGAAGAATCCTCACTTACCCAGCGCTGCTCAGAATCTAAGCTTTCATTCCATATTTATTCCAACGGTCATGCACTGGGTCAGCAATAACAGCTATCCATGGACCATCCCCAATGAGAAACTCTCAGATGTTCTCGAGGATATCTTCATGGCGGTGTGTAAGCAGCCTGGAGACTTCAGGAATGATGATGGCTGCAATCTCGCCTTCAACCTCGTGAGTGAATTCCCATTCTGGTCCTTCTAGCTGACAACTATGCTGGCAGGTATGCCAAAGGATCTCTGAGTGGAGAGGTAACTTCGGCTCCACTGCTATCACCATTCTCATGGCATTTTTCGCATCCACGGACGAATACAAGACCAAGGAGGCATGCAAAGAATATGCCGAATATCAACTTGAAGATTCACACTTTGTATATGAAGATCCAGATAATGAAGACTCACCTGGAGCTTTCTTATCAGAATTTATCTTGCGCATCTTCGCTGTTCAACTCAATGCCACCCAAGGACGCCAGATAATTGACTCGCTCGACTTCGGCTTACCTGCATATCCAACGGCCCTTGCACTGACCACTGCAGCTGTGAGTTTTGCACCACCTTTACAAAACTTCCTAACTTTCATTTGCAGGCCGAGCGTGCACTTATTTTAGCTTGCGACGACCTGATTGTGGAAGATACTTCGGACCATGGGAAACACAAGATCGCCCTAACTCTCAATCACTCCACTAACAAAATGAGTAACACAGGCACTGCTTTTTCCGCAGGTAATTGGGAGACTGACACACTCGCGTACATGGAATGAATTGAGGAGCTGCCCTTCAACCGCATAAAAGAAATTGTCAAACAAGCTCAGCCGTACATGAAGCGTGCTCGCCGCAAGGGTCAAGATGAAGAGTCTAGTATTCTCGATGGTCAAAGTCAGCCCCCTGTGCCAGTGAATCCACGCACGTGTATCCGTATTTGAAGTATTTGTTTCTTTATTCTAATTCTTCCTGCTCTAATGCGATAATTTTTGACAGAACTCGCTTGGCTTTTCTACATGCGTGCTCGTCTCCCAGCCTCGTATTGTTTCACTTCAATCACTGCTCTCGTCAATTGCTGTCCTATGCCTTTTTTAATATTTTTTGGACATTTTCATAGAACGTTTTGAACTCGTTGACGTCCTTATTTTCGCCTTAGCCTACTTGGATTATTCTGTGTCTACTGAAATAATAGTATGCCTTGACTGCCTTATCCACCTGATTTTAAGGCAACCGCCCCTTATTTCCTTACTTTAAGGAAATGAATCTCCTTAGTCTCCTCAATTTAAGGACGAAAAACGGCCTTAAAAGTTCCTTATTGTGTGAATTAAGGCAAATAAGGAGCAAATAAGGAACTCGATGTTTTCCTGATGAGAAGTGATTTGGGTTTGAGAATGGAGGGGTGGAGTGCTACTGCTTGTTTATACTATATATTGTGTCTTTCCGTGGTTCATACTGCTCTGGTGTGGAGGTCCGTACTGTAGTTGTTTTTGGTGTTGTTTCTTGATCTAGATGCAAAGTTGTGGCACTTGCACACCACTAACAGCGCTCCCTACTATACCATGTGATTTGCTTGTCACTTTAACATACCTTACAGTCTTCCACTTTGAGCCACGTTCCGCGCGACATACTTATTTCATGTGCTACCTTACAGATAAAACCTATCAAAGCCCTAGTAGATAGTTAGGTGTTCTTGCAACTAAGCTATTACTACTGGTGACATTGCTTGATCGTCTTAGTCTTTTCTGTGCCCTCACCTCAAGTCTAAGCACTTCGAGCTGTTGTCACAGAAGTATTTATCTCAACGACTACTACATGGTGGCAGAAATAGGTGCATTGCAGATTTCACTGTCATGCGGATGGTGCTGGCTTGCTTCTTTATTTTGACTGTCTTCCTTCTTTCATCAAGTTTGATTTCACTTTCCACAATTGGTCAATACATTCGAGCTTCAAGATTTTTACGTGCGGGCCTACCTCCTTAAATTTCCTTTGTCTGTTGCCAACGAACGACATACACTCCGATCTGAGCACTAGGCTCACGTACATGTTGAGAAATCCCTGCCCCATCTGACGGAGATGATTGTCTATTGACTTGAAAATGCAATAGTACTAGTTAGGATCGTATTCACCCTGGCCCATGCCTCTTCTCATCTGCTCATCATCGTGTTTGGTATGTAGACGAGTTTGAGTTCTCAAGTCCTCATCTTACCTGCTCGTCGTCTTGTTAGTGTTTAGCTTTCATCACCCACTTTATTGCTTCCCTGTTCCTCACTGATATACTAGATTCGTGACCAGCCCTGAGCCTGACTGCACCTCCTTGGACCATGCGCTATGGTAGATTCTCGCACATAAGGAGTGCTACAAGTAACACTAGAACTGCTAGGTCGATTGTCATGTATATGTAGGACTTGGTTATGTAGTCTTGACTCACACGTCAAGACGTTCTGGGAACATCGGAAGCATCCAGATGAGGGGTCTAGACTCTAAAGCGCCTAGACAGTGTTTGGCCGGTCGTGAATGTCAGAGTTCTGGCTGGAAAGCTCGTATACCTGTTTTGCACCGATGGGGACATTCCGTTGCAAGAATACACCAATTGCTTGCTGTCAAGACGGCAGACTCGGACTGCCAGCTTTGTATCTCAAAATGCAAATACAGGCATCGTGGTGAGGGTTGCAACCTCTGAGTCAGTGTCGATGACATTACTGCTATCCTTCACCAAGATACCACCATGCGCTGGACGAGCTACACTGTGGGTCACGGGTACGTCATAGTGCGTACTATCTGTACATACACTTCTCTGCACCCTGCACCCTGGCAGGTTACATCAAGGGTACCTCTGATTGTGTTCTCGAGTGAGATGAGGAACGACATGCCATCTTCATGAACCGTATTGCCGAGATAGCTTCAGACCTGAAAATTCTGATGTTCGGTGACGAAGCTGTACTAGAAGATAAGTACAGCTGAGGACACTGCCTCGGATAATCGTTGATTCGGCATTCAAAATTTGGAACAAAGTCAGCTTCATCTACAGCTTAGTACCAGTCAAAGTGCACCAATTCTTCTAAGTGACTGATTTATCATACTTCGCAGGCATAGTTATGAGGAAGTCAAGGTATTTAGGCATGGAGAATAACTTTTAATTGACCTTCGCAGAACTTCACCTCCTTGACTTTAGTTTTGCCATCACTTTCTGTCGAGTTTTTGATGTGTATATCGAGATTTACAACAAAGACGGTCTCCCACTGAGGTATTTCTGGGTTGGGGGATATAGAAGGTGAGGACATTATTGAAACCAAGTCGCAGTGTGGTGTTCGAGTCGCTCACGTGCTTATGTACTTCGGATATTGCCAAGATGGCTGTTCAACATTCGTGAATGTAAGGCTTATGGAAACTCTAGGTCTAGTCTATGTAGAGTCCACTCTGGGTCCTGTCTGGGGGTGTGCCAGCCGCCTGGCCAGATTGAAGCGGAGTTTAATTCCAAATCGGGACGATGTGACTAAGCTTCAAGTTGTGACTTAGCTCACCCCGCCCTTGTCTTGATGACGCCTGCTGCCCCACCCTCTTGCCTGCCGCCCAGGGATCCGCATGGGTAGGTAACCTGCGTGGGTCATGGGTACGGGTATGGGTTGAATGTTGAAGTGTTGAGTACCTGATACCCTCACGGGTACTGCCGAACCTGCTTACAAATCTTTCCAGACATCGTCGCGTCACACCTACCACATGCTGCGTCAAACCCCACCCTGCGCATCAGCACTTTTTTATATATCATTTCAATTTATATGTACGGGCAATGACGATGGTCATCGTGGTGAATGTTGACAAGCTAGGGGCCGACGCAGTTGTCACGCGTGACTCCCAAGCTTAATCATACTTCGAACGTCCCAATTGAGGATTAAACTCCGCTTTAATCTGGCTGGGCGGCTGGCACACCCCCAGACAGGACCTAGACAGGACTCTACGTGGACTCTACGTAGACTTGACCTAGAGTTTCCATTTCCCGGACGTCCTCCAACGTTCAACCTTTACACGTTATCCAAGCTTCTAGGTCCTGGAATTCTGAATTCTGTTCTTGATTTACGTTTCGATGCTGTGGCATTGTATCAACCATAGAAGCTGATGCGGAAATCGATATCTAACCCTCTTATCACCACGATGGCAGTGACTCCAGTCTCATGGTGAATCATGATGTGGAATGCCCTCGGATATAAAAAAGGGATGGCCGATCTCCTTCTATCTAAGCTTAAGAGCTGCCTCCAGGGTCCAGACTCCCAGCTAGTTCACCAAGTCCACCTTATTACTTGTTCAACATTTATCTGCACTCACTTGCGCCACTGATACGTGGTATGTCGAGGACTTGTGTATCATGTCGATTGAATCCTCGCTATTGCGTGCCGACAACTAGTACATCTGATCCCCCCTCAGCGAACCGGAACTTCAAGAATGCTTCAAAAAACACGCACAATGGATTTTTTGCTCCGCGCGCATGTTACATCCTGCATGGTGTGCTGGTCCTGATCCACGTTGTCCTTCTTTTATTCTATGTCCATCACTGGGAACACCATGTAACTTTCTCGTTCACACCAACAAACAACGATTTCTGGCCCGTGGTGCTTAGTGCTTCACTGCAAGCGTTTTATACTGTACGTATCCAGCGTCTACTGGTATCCTAACAATACATCGATGATATGACTTGATCCAGATATACACGGCTGTTCTACTCTTCCTTACCCAACGGCTTGCGATTTCGAGAACACTTGTACACCGTGTGAAACTGACTGCCGTTCACGACATCTCTAGCGCATGGGCGGGCCTTGGTTCTGCACTCAGCAGCGTCTGGCGACAAACTGCCATCCCCGCCTCGTGGTGGACGACTTCCGCTGTGGCAGCCTACCTTGCGAGCATAACCGTGCTGCATGTCACCTCTTCCACTCTCCTACAATTCCAAACGTTCAATGCTTCTATGACGACTTCAGTGCCCACAACGCTAGGGTGGCTAAACGATTCATCGTATAGCTCTCCCACGAACCTGGGACTCATTACCATATCTCTACCAGTTGTCAATCAGTTGACTGGACTCGTGTCTGCAGGATTAGCCAACACCACACTCTACGACACTCTCAAAACAAACGCTATAGCAGGAAATGCCACTGTGAATGCAACGACGGTAACCTCGCGTTGCGGATTGATTCCAAATGTGACATACTATGCGGATGTTGGCGAGTTGATCTTTCAGTTGGGGCCAAATTCTTCCATTACAACTTATATGGAAATTCCCTGTTGGTTGTTGTGATTGTGGTGATGTTTCATCACGCTGAGAACATCTACAGGGTCAGATCAGATAAATGTAATTCCAGACTTTGGTAATTTATATCCTAGTACACAATCGGAGGTAAGCGTTCTCTTAGTTCGCGCCTACTATAGAAGTTGAATAACGATTTGACTCTAGCTTGGTGGTGTCTATCTTATGGTCTCTACATTATTGGGGATCGACCCTTCGGTACAAGATGAGGTTGCTGTAAACATGACTTGGAGTACGTTTGCTTATTTGTAATACAGTCATGATAATAATACGTTCTGCAGCTATCCCTGGCATTGCCACTCCATACATCATCCAGGCCTATTTCGTATATTGCTCGCTGTCAGCGAACACTACAGATGGGGTAGTCAACATGCAAACCAACAGCCTACTGAGTCCTACGTCCATATCGCAGCCATCCACGCAATGGGAAATGTATCAACTCGGGTGGTCGAATACTAGATGGCAAACACAGGTGCGTTATATGGCGCTCACTTCGAGCTCAATGACATACTGTCAATTTTAGATCGGCAGTGCTTTGGCTACCCCAGATAGCCGTAGCGGGACTGCATTTGCATTTGACGGACCCTCTGTTGTGGACGCGTAGGCCAAAAACTTGACTGCACTGCTAAAATGTCTCACGTACGGCTTAACTTCCAGGTATATCATGTCGTTGATAGGCCTGAATCTCACTGAGGAACATACACAATTCGGAGACGGTGCTCTTCCGATTTCCAATTTCACGTTGAGACCGGATGAACTAGAATTTGCTGTTGCGAGATCTGCTGCACAACTCATCTGGCTAGGTAAGGGATACGTTTGAAGTTTTCTGAGCATCGCCCCGTTCTCGCTCACTCCGTGTCACATGCTTAGCAGGACAAATGGGTGCAGCCAATGGAGGAATTGACACTGGCAATGGGACAGCCTATGTTAATGAGGAGTTCATTGCCCTACGCCTCAATGTAAGTGAACTGCATAGATGCTGATTTTAAATGACTGATGGAGCATTGTAGATTAACCTTCTTCCTGTGAGTTCGTGGTGGTATCTATGGGCCGACTATTTATCGAAAATGGCTCTAGTTGGTTTTCACGGCGTCTGCATCGGTGATCATGTTGGGACTGGTACTACATATGACCCGAGCATTCCATGCATCGCACGACAGTCAGGCTGTTATCCCAAACATAGGTGTGCTGCAACTCTTGTGGTTGGGTCACCGTTCAGCCTCTATCAATGAAGTCCTGGAAGATGTGCAACATCCGACAGAGGCCAATCTGCGGCGAGCAGGCATGATAGATGTTTGTTTTTCGAATATCATGCCCAACGGAGAATTTGGGAGCTCAACTGCTAGCGACAGTCTCTCTTGCGATGTTGACTACCGTCGTGATGAGGAGATGTGATTTGAATTTGAGACTATGTAGTAGGCTGCTGCTTATTTATACATATGTTTTGTATTTCTCTGGTGCAGAGGTCCGCATTATGGTTGGTTTTGTTTTTTAGTATTGTTTCTTAATTTAGATGCTCTCTTCAAGGACGACTACTAGGTGTGTCGCAGATATCATTATCATATGGATGACGCTGGCTTGCTTTTTATTGATTGTCATCGAGTTTGATTTTTTTTACACAACTCTAACTGGTAGACGCATTCGAGCTTCAAGATTTTCACGCGCGGGCCCATCTGTCTGTCCCTGTAAGGCGGCTATACGAGTTCGAAGGGAATTGTTTGAGTACGAAGTAGATAGGTAATAGGTGGGACGATGAAGATGTCAAGTACGCGACTGACGAGTGAAACGACAATAGACTTGGGACGAGCTAGATGGAGCGGCTGTTCAGAGACGTTCTGAGGACACTTGGAGCAGGAAATCACTGAGTTAGATTCTGCTACTCAAAATGAGAGTACATGCGCCATATATATACGTTTGAACGAGTCAACTAGTCCTGAAGGAGCGTGAAGACCGTATGGTAGAGTGAAAGAAAGACTGGAAAGGAATGGCGAGAAAAAGGGTCCAGTTGGTAAGTGTACTGTAAAGCGATGAAAGAGAAAGGAAAAGATCAGGGATGTATCCTCGCTGCTCGGACGCGAAGCGTGAAGCTTCTTCGCGTCAGTGAGTCACTCCGACTCACGTGGAACGTCGGATGGATTCGAGCGTCTATCTAAAGTTGCAGTCGGCGCGTAAAGGATATAGGATCCTTACATCCCTCAAATTCCCTTTGTCCATTGCACAATGCAAATGACATGCGCTCCGATCTGGGTGCTAGGCTCATGCATGACTCACATGCTGAGATATCTCTGCCCCATCTGGCGGAGACTATTGTCTATGTCTAACTTGAGCGCACGATAGTAGTTACTAGGATACACGCTGGTTTACGCCTCTTCTCAGCTACTTGTAATCGCGTTTCATACAGATGAGTTTTTGTTCTGAACTTCTCAAGTCTCCATCCTTCCTCATCTTACCTGCTTGTCGTCTTGTTAGTGTTTCAAAAGTGTTTGTTGCTATCGCTCTCCCGTCCCTTACTGAACTCCTCATGATCAGCCCATCTACTTACGAATGGTAGGTCCAACTGCACCTCCTCCTGACTTGTACAGCGTCTGTAGAGTCTGTGGCCTGGCGTATTACTAGGGTCTTGTGACCTATAGTATCGGGGCTAAGGGTCATCGGGGCAGAAAACGCTATGCTGATATGAGCCATACATGTTACTATTGTAATACGAGTGACACAGCCTGCCTGCGAGTGGAATAAGGGCTGTTGGAAATACTGACTTGTGTAGATCGTGGTGATGGATCGCGTGGACGCCGGAATAAGGGATCAGACGCTCTGATGGGCCTATATATAACTGTACTTTTGCGCTCTTTTGGAAGTGGTTGTTCTGTACGAATACTTGGGAAGACCTCAAGAAGAATGCGGAGATGAAAGATTGAAACAACATCATTTTCCTGCTCGCATGTCCTTGTTTTGTTGTCCACTATATAGCGCCGGTCCGAGTTACTGCCTTGAACCGCTCAGTACATAATTTTACTCGCACATAGGAAATTGTTCGGTGAAAACCCTACAGGAGTGAAGGAGTGAATGTATACGATGCACGTACATCCATCGTAGATCCTGTCTACCAAAATGTATTTCATGTAGATTAATTCAAGGCAAGGCCAAGACCAAGGCTTTCAATTTTTCAAAGTTGGGTGTGCCGTGTCCAGTGACTACAGGTATGATCAGCATGTAGACACGTCATAACTCTGTTTGCCTTCATTAACTCACCAGGATCCCATCCAACAGTGGCCTGTATACAGGTATCACATCAGCAATGTGATCTGAAGGCGTACAGACATGACCTACATTGAAACCCTGAGTTCCACATCCTGGGTTATTCCCTTGGGTGATATCATTTAATGCAGTGTAGCCAGTGGAATATAAAAATGGATTCAAAAGGCCAAGAGGAGTCTTTCCAGCATTGATGCGTGCGTCGTTCAACATGGATACAAATCCAGCAAAGGCGGGCGAAGCACAGGATGTACCAGTGACTGAACCCTCCTGACCTTGATAGATGATAGAGAAGAATGTTGATTGTGCTGCCACGTCGGGATATGCCTAGAAAAACGGGTTCCATAAGATTTTTGCAAGTTAAAGAGTTAACATACACGTCCGGTCCTAGAGATGATGAGTCAATTGTGCATTGTGCTTTCGCCAGCTTGTGGTGACTTACAAATTATAGAGACCTTTGAACGTACCGGGAGCGAGCATCGCTAAGTATTCAGAGACGGCAGCCTCCTGGTACGCAGGACGAGCAAACTTATACATTGCAATGTATGGGTCAGAAGGTTTTATGTGGGGCAGAGATTACTTACATAGTCGCTGAATCCACCACCAGAAAACAACACGGCAGTCTCTGGGATGTTGACAGTACCACCAACAGCAGTCACGCTGTGGTTCAAATTGGTTACTGTACTCCTTGATTAAAAATACCACTCACTATGGGCAGGAAGCGGGGAATGACGGTAGGAATTTTGTGACATTGCGCCCATCATTGGATTTACATAATTGAGTGGCAGGGTCGGGATTGTTATCACCAACACCACCATCACCAGAGGAGAACAACAAAGAAACACCGCGAGCACTGAGAGACGCCATACCAGCGCAAACACGGGTCGCATAGGCGTACGGGACAGTTTGTTCATTATCACCGTAACTGGTAGAGATTGTCTGAGGAATATCATTCTGTGAAAGTAAGCGTTCAAGCCACTGAAGGTCGTAGTCATTAATACAGTAAACCGCCATCGTGATGGTTTGAACGCACGTATGTGTATGGCTCATTTAGATTCGTCGGGTACACCAGGTCGGGGATGTAAGGAGGCTGACCAGCAGTCGTGTAGAACGTTCCGGGAGTGGGCCACACGAGTCCGAAACCAAACTGAGTGTCAAGGTTGGCTTCATCACCTGCCGCCTCATAGCTCTGGTTGTTCTTTCCGCCTGTGAAGCAAATGAACAAGATAATATCGACAAAGTTCGGACTGCAACCCACCATGAATAGAAACCAAAGTGTAATTCGAACCATAAGCGGAAGGATTTTGGGCCAGGTAGAATTGCTGAAGGTCCTTATTATTTGCATACTGGTCAAGATAACCAGTGATACCCAGCTTGTTACAGTTTGTGGCGGTTGTTTTATAGTTCTCTGCATTATACAACTGTCTCAAGCAAGAAAGGGTAATCGTAGAGTTGCAGCTCGCATCGACGGGATTGCCTGCAGGCCCCGTGATTGTTTCGCCCGGCGGGCATGGCGCCACAGGCTGTGCCTGGTTAGTCCAGTGCAGTGTGCTCTTGAATGCCTTGAAACGAGCGAACATGGTCGTAGGCTGAATAAGATCAACATGATGGTGCAAGATGTCAGGGAGACTGTAGCTCGTAGTCCTGAGGATGCTCTCTCCTGTCTCAGCGTGTTTATAAACATGGTATGTCTAGAAACAAACTGTCAATGCATTGTAATTTCCGAAGATGGCATTGCCTCGTTCACAGTATCCAGCATCTCTTCTGCGAGACCGACCGGGACACGAATAGTGACCCAATCGCGTGCGGATGAATGTATAACTTCTTCTGCCAGACCGTGTAAGGTAAGCCATTCGCTGACGATGGCCAGAGTCTCAGGGTGAGGGGCCATGAGTGTCTCGGTCTCCTGCTTCGACAAGTACGCCCCGTAACGTGCGTGGCTAGGATCGCTTATCTCCCAGAGGTGCTGCTCAAGTTCCGGGAACCTGGGCTGAGAAAGAGCGATCTTGAGCTCGAGCATGTGGTGCTTTGGTGCGGGAGCATGCTTGTACCACCCGTGGGGTGGACCGTGAATACTCTCTTTCACCTTCTGCTGGCAGCCCTTGAAGGATACAGTGCTAGCGAGAGCAGCCGCGAAGGGAAACACAAGCAGAGTGACAAACTTCATCGTCAGTGCACAACACAAACTGGGTTGGTACTCACTCGAGTACTTACATATAGTGAGATCGACATCAACCAAGACAATGGAATACGTATTCGATGGTTTAATTGACGTGGCCAGCTGAGCGCTGACGTTCTTCTGTCACTAAGCTGGCAAATGATAAGGCTTCATTATACGTGTCGATAGACCTGAAACATTATGTTTGGCCCATCGATTTGCTTCTACCGTGACAAGCCCAATTGCTCAGGGTAATCTCGGAGAAATACACCATTTCAACTTACCTGTTATGTGTATAAAGTAGAGCATGTGGTTGGGGTGGAGCAAACCGTGTGGTTGAAGTTGCCATGATCCTCCGCCAGCACACAAGAGATTCCTAGTAAGTATAATAATTCACTGCGTCACAACGAAGAACTCAAGGTGTTGTTGAGGAGTACTCTTCGCGCGTGGAACAGCCATAAACCTGTATGACTTGACGTGATTGACATTGTATGAGTACTGCGTGTGCTGATCGTGGGCCCGACGTCCACACGAGAGGTCACCGTAAGATATAAACACGTGGATCACATGACTTTTCGTGGCATTTGAATCTCGGATGCAATAAAGCTTCCTTTAGAAATTTTCGACAATTGTATAGCGAGTGCCTCGATTAGACTCGTGACCAGTCTGTCTAATGAGGCAAGCCGTCGATTAGACATGCCTCGATTGTGATAGTTAAATTGCATATGTACAAGTTCAGATACGCAGGCTGATTGATGTACGTCGTGTAGGAATGCCTATAGTCGATATCACTGAGTTGGCAAATGATGCCGCATTATTATTTAGCCTACGTGACCTTGTACTACGTAGTAGTAGAACAATACGGTATAACAAAAAAGCGACAATGCGACTCTAACGTGCACAGCATTTTTGATGGGCCGCCGCCTCACTTGAAAGTTCGAACCATACCTTGATCGATATAAAGAGGAAAATACAAGGATGACTG